TATGAGGCCCCTAATTCTTGCAGATCGTATGGCTGCCCATTCGTCTTGGCAAAATGCCTCCAGGTCATTCAAAGTCTTTGGTCGTCTTGCATGAACCACACGTTTGAGATCTCCCCAGAATGGCTCGATTTAAGGTCAGGAGACTGTGATGGCCACTCCAGAACCTTCACCTTTTTCTGCTGTAACCACTAGAGGGCCAACTTGGCCTTGTGCTTAGGGTCATTGTCATGTTGGAAAGTCCAAGAGCGTCCCATGCGCAGCCTTCATGGCAAAATAATAAAAATTGTCTGCCAGTATTTTCTGATAACATGCTGCATTCATCTTGCCATCAGTTTTCAGAAGATTCCCCGTGCCTTTAGAGCTCACCCGAAAACATCAGTGAACCACCACCATGCTTCACAGTGGGGATGGTATTCTTTTCACCATAGGGCTTATGGTTGTGACCGTAAAGCTCTATTTTTGGGCTCCCTCGGCGCTGGGACTCTCCTCCCTCTTCTGATGTCATCGGCTGAATGCACATGCACGGCCAGAGCCGCGCACGCATTCAGCCAGTCTCATAGGAAAGCATTCTCAATGCTTTCCTATGGACGCTGGCGTCTTCTCACAAATCGTCTTCTCAAAAATCACAGTGAGAAGTGCGGAAGCGCCTCTAGCGGCTGTCAATGAGACAGCCACTAGAGGCTGGATTAACCCATAGATAAACATAGCAGTTTCTCTGAAACTATGTTTAAACTAGCCAGGGTTAAACCTAGATGGACCTGGCACACAGACCACTTCATTAAGCTGAAGTGGTCTGGGTGCCTATAGTGGTCCTTTAATTTTCCACTTCTTAATAAGTGATTGAACAGTACTGACTGTCATCTTCAAGGCTTTGAATATCTTTTTATATCCTTTTCCATCTTTATAAAGTTCCATTACCTTGTTACGCAGGTCTTTAACAGTTCTTTTCTGCTCCCCATGGCATCCACGTGAGAGCTAACAAACCCATTGACTATTCATAGACACTAATTGCAATTTAAAAAGCCACAGGTCAGGTGTAGGAAATTTAATTGCCATTTTTAACCTGTGTGTGTCACCTTGTGTGTCTGTCTGTAACAAGGCCGAACATTCAAGGGTATGTAAACTTTTGGTCCATTTGGGTGATTTCTGTTATCATTATGATTTAAAAAGGAGTCAAACAACTATCTGATAATAAATGGCTTCATATGATCACTATCCTTCAATAAAAGACATTTTATTGATTAGTCATATTTTCAAAATCAATGCCAACATTTCACAATTTCTGTCAGGGTATGCAAACTTTTGAGCACAACTGTATTAGCCAACGTAATAGTATTTATTGCTTATCAGATGTAATTAATAGCCAACTTAATAGTGTTTATGGCTTACAAAATTTAAATATTAGCCAACTTAAGTGTTTTTTTTTAATTATAGTAATTATTAGCCAACTGTTAAGTTGGCTAATAATTACCTCTGATAAGCTATAAATACTATTAAAATGGCTAATAATGACATCCAATAAGTCTCTTAAAGGGACACTATAGTCACCCAGACCACTTCAGCTCAATGAAGTGGTCTGGGTGCCAGGTCCCTCAGGTTTTAACCCTTCAGATGAAACTGCTATGTTTACATTTGGGGTTAAGCCAGCCAGTTGTAGCTGTCTTCAGGACGGCCACTAGAAGCGCATCTGCGACGCTGGAGGCATATTATGCCTCCATCGCGCAGAGCGTCCATGTCATTGACAGCTTGAATGCGCGCGCGGCACTTGACGCACATGCGCATCTGGATCCTGTGACGTCGGACGGCTCCACTGACGTCGGCGGGGGAGGAGAGGGGAGGAATAAGGTAAGCACACTGGGTTCATTGCCAGCTAGACCGTGTCAATCAGTTCTTTGGCATACAGTCTACATGGAGGGAGAAAGTCCTAATTTTAAAATGTTTTGCCCCCCCTTCCCCAATCTATACATTTGCTAGCAAATCTCTTAACCCAATGTGTATATATAAAATTCAATGTGCCTGGCATAACAGATGCTATTTGTGGCAGAACCGCTGCTGTTCGTACATTTCCCCTCTCTGTGTGTTGCCTTTTGTGTTAGCATATTGTGCCTGCTCCCCATTCAGGAGTGCTTCCACGAAGGGAACCCATTCAACTCCCGAACGGGGACCACCCCAATGGTCCATTTAGAAAGCTCATTAGAACGTTCGAACACGGACAGTGCTAAAACCGCAAGAAAAGCCTTGGTGCGTGCCCTCCCCTGGGTGGCCACCATTTCATATAGATAAATGCCATCTTGGGGGAGCATTCGTTTCCCGAACAAGGACCTCCCCAACCCCCATTGGAATATTCACACTAATCAATTAGAAGGATAACACTCGCAACATAACTGTGAAAACGAAAGGGAAGTAATTAATGAGTGCTTCCCTGGGTGGCCGCCATTCGTATAGACGAACATCAACTAGGGGGAGCATTCGTATCCTGAATGGAGATGCTTCCCTTGCCTGGTTTCACACAGGGACCCCGCGGGCTTTCTGTGCCTGGGAGACAAAGAGACGGAAGCCTTTTCCCGCTCCTGGGATGAAGACCCCCCTGACATCTGTAGTGGGAGACCCTGGATTTGGGTGGCGGGAACGGGGGACAAAGGAAGCAAAGACCCCTGGGAGGGGGAGGACCCCTTGCATGGGGCTTTGCATAAAAGCCGAGTGTGGCATAATAACATTACATTGTATTGTATCTCCAGAACTAGGTATTTTCCAGTTACTGGGGGGAAATAGGTCTCTGTGTCTGCTAAGTGGGTCCGGAACGACTGACAGAAGTGAATTAGCAGACGTAGTCGGTCGGGTTACCCGTGGTCCGCTACACCATTGAAAAGAGGAAATATATTTAATGTATTGGTTTTGGTGCATAGATCCTGTTTCTGCGGTCTGCAAAATGTAAGAATTTCTGTTTATGAAAGTGATGTTTACATCTGTCAGTCAAAGTGTCTCTAGTGACTGTCAATCAATCATCAGTCAGACAGCTATTAGCGGTACTTCCTCATGGAAACGTTTAATACTGTAAAGTCTACATGTTCAGCATCATCGCGCACAGCATGATGTCACCGAAAGCTGTGCATGCTTATCTGTGACAGGTTTCTGTGTAACGGAATCTTCACTTCCCAGGATTTAAAGTATTATATTTAACAAACATGTATTTGTGAGGTTTGGAAAAATAAAATTCAGTGCAGGAATCCACATCTCTTAATCCTGTAACTAGGCGCCTTTTTTTTCTTTTTCTTTTTTTGCTCCCTGTCAATCATTGTTATAAGCTCCGCCCTTTACACCTGGCAGTCAGTATAGAGAGAGCCACCTCCATCTTAGCTCCCTGTCAATCATTGTTATAAGCTCCGCCCTTTACACCTGGCAGTCAGTATAGAGAGAGCCACCTCCATCTTAGCTCCCTGTCAATCATTGTTATAAGCTCCGCCCTTTACACCTGGCAGTCAGTATAGAGAGAGCCGCCTCCATCTTAGCTCCCTGTCAGTCATTGTTATAAGCTCCGCCCTTTACACCTGGCAGTCAGTATAGAGAGAGCCGCCTCCATCTTAGCTCCCTGTCAATCATTGTTATAAGCTCCGCCCTTTACACCTGGCAGTCAGTATAGAGAGAGCCGCCTCCATCTTAGCTCCCTGTCAATCATTGTTATAAGCTCCGCCCTTTACACCTGGCAGTCAGTATAGAGAGAGCCGCCTCCATCTTAGCTCCCTGTCAATCATTGTTATAAGCTCCGCCCATTACACCTGGCAGTCAGTATAGAGAGAGCCACCTCCATCTTAGCTCCCTGTCAATCATTGTTATAAGCTCCGCCCATTACACCTGGCAGTCAGTATAGAGAGAGCCACCTCCATCTTAGCTCCCTGTCAATCATTGTTATAAGCTCCGCCCATTACACCTGGCAGTCAGTATAGAGAGAGCCACCTCCATCTTAGCTCCCTGTCAATCATTGTTATAAGCTCCGCCCTTTACACCTGGCAGTCAGTATAGAGAGAGCCGCCTCCATCTTAGCTCCCTGTCAATCATTGTTATAAGCTCCGCCCTTTACACCTGGCAGTCAGTATAGAGAGAGCCACCTCCATCTTAGCTCCCTGTCAATCATTGTTATAAGCTCCGCCCTTTACACCTGGCAGTCAGTATAGAGAGAGCCACCTCCATCTTAGCTCCCTGTCAATCATTGTTATAAGCTCCGCCCTTTACACCTGGCAGTCAGTATAGAGAGAGCCGCCTCCATCTTAGCTCCCTGTCAATCATTGTTATAAGCTCCGCCCTTTACACCTGGCAGTCAGTATAGAGAGAGCCACCTCCATCTTAGCTCCCTGTCAATCATTGTTATAAGCTCCGCCCTTTACACCTGGCAGTCAGTATAGAGAGAGCCTCCATCTTAGCTCCCTGTCAATCATTGTTATAAGCTCCGCCCTTTACACCTGGCAGTCAGTATAGAGAGAGCCACCTCCATCTTAGCTCCCTGTCAATCATTGTTATAAGCTCCGCCCTTTACACCTGGCAGTCAGTATAGAGAGAGCCACCTCCATCTTAGCTCCCTGTCAATCATTGTTATAAGCTCCGCCCTTTACACCTGGCAGTCAGTATAGAGAGAGCCGCCTCCATCTTAGCTCCCTGTCAATCATTGTTATAAGCTCCGCCCATTACACCTGGCAGTCAGTATAGAGAGAGCTACCTCCATCTTAGCTCCCTGTCAATCATTGTTATAAGCTCCGCCCTTTACACCTGGCAGTCAGTATAGAGAGAGCAGACAGAGAGGAGGTGAAATTAACAAAAGCGTTTCTATTTCTCCTCCTTATTTGCATGGTGTGCCCTGGCTGTGCCTTGTCTGAACCGGACTGTGGACTCTCTATAAAAAATATTTAACTTAAATGTAAAAGAACACAGATTGTAATGGAACAAAGGCTTATCCAAATTATATATGTCATGTTCTATTCATTGGTGTAATTCCCAGAGAAATGACTGTTACCCATTAACGATAACTGGCATTAAACACGGTGATATCGTATTATTAATCTTGATGTTATAATATACCATCTGTTATTTGCTTTAATTAATCTATTGAAACTTTGTCATACTGTCCTTTTCCGCTCCCTGTTTTGATACGCCTGTCAGTCAGTGTTGCCATTTGATTATTAGGGTAGGATAACCGGGTATGTAAGAATAACCTGATATAAAGATGGAGAGAGAAATCACACAGGCACGCGCCCAATATTTTATTAATACGCCAGGGCACGTTAAGAAAGCTGCTATAAAGAGAGAAGGGAGGTTTGTGATTTCCTCAAAAATTTCAATATGCATCAATTAAAAAAAGAAGATACGGTGTATGTTAATATAAAGACTGTATTAAGATATATGAGAAGTAATTATGGATTTTCTTTAACAGTAAGTTTTAGATGCTGTCCCTTTAAGAGCTTAGTAACAGTAACCATGAGGGGGCGTGGTTAGTGGAACCAGGAAGTGAATCCAGAAAGCTGCAGGTTGCTGGCTCTGCCTGAGGATCAGACATGGAGAACAGGGGGCTCTCTGCAGGGGCCAGTGGGTCCCACTGGGAAGGTAACACTGCGGGGAGGGGGGAGGATGAGGGGGGCACTAATTAACCCCTTCATGGCTCTCACTGAGACACACACTACAATACATTCTGTGTACACACACACACTATAATACATTCTGTGTACACACACACACTATAATACATTCTGTGTACACACACACACTATAATACATTCTGTGTACACACACACACTATAATACATTCTGTACACACACACATTATAATACATTCTGTATACAAACACACACACACACACATTATAATACATTCTGTGTACACACACACACACACACACACATTATAATACATTCTGTATACAAACACACAGACACACATTATAATACATTCTGTATACACACACACACAGACATTATAATACATTCTGTATACACACACACACAGACATTATAATACATTCTGTATACACACACACACAGACATTATAATACATTCTGTATGCAAACACACACAGACACACATTATAATACATTCTGTATACACACACACACAGACATTATAATACATTCTGTATACACACACACACATTATAATACATTCTGTATACAAACACACACAGAGACACATTACAATACATTCTGTGTACACACACACACAGAGACACATTATAATACATTCTGTATACACACACACACACATTATAATACATTCTGTATACAAACACACACAGACACACATTATAATACATTCTGTATACAAACACACATTATAATACATTCTGTATACACACACACACACACTACAATACATTCTGTATACACACACACAGACATTATAATACATTCTGTATACAAACACACACAGACACACATTATAATACATTCTGTATACACACACACACAGACATTATAATTCTGTATACACACACACACAGACATTATAATACATTCTGTATGCAAACACACACAGACACACATTATAATACATTCTGTATACACACACACACAGACATTATAATACATTCTGTATACACACACACACATTATAATACATTCTGTATACAAACACACACAGAGACACATTACAATACATTCTGTGTACACACACACACAGAGACACATTATAATACATTCTGTATACACACACACACACACACATTATAATACATTCTGTATACAAACACACACACACACACATTATAATACATTCTGTATACAAACACACATTATAATACATTCTGTATACACACACACACTACAATACATTCTGTATACACACACACAGACATTATAATACATTCTGTATACAAACACACACAGACACACATTATAATACATTCTGTATACACACACACACAGACATTATAATACATTCTGTATACACACACACACAGACATTATAATACATTCTGTATACAAACACACACAGACACACATTATAATACATTCTGTATACACACACACACAGACATTATAATACATTCTGTATACACACACACACATTATAATACATTCTGTATACAAACACACACAGAGACACATTACAATACATTCTGTGTACACACACACACAGAGACACATTATAATACATTCTGTATACACACACACACACACATTATAATACATTCTGTATACACACAGACACACATTATAATACATTCTGTATACAAACACACATAATACATTCTGTACACACACACATTACAATACATTCTGTACACACACACATTACAATACATTCTGTGTACACACAGACACACATAATACATTCTGTATACAAACACATAATACATTCTGTACACACACACATTACAATACATTCTGTGTACACACAGACACACATAATACATTCTGTATACAAACACACAATACATTCTGTACACACACACATTACAATACATTCTGTTTACACACACTCTGTAATAAGAAATTCAGTGTGTATCCAATGTGCGCGCGCGCACACACACTATATGAGGGCCAAGGTTTACCCATTGTGTGTGTGTGTGTGTGTACACACATTACAATACATTATTTGTACACACTATAGGTTCCGTTATTTGTGTTGCTAACCCAGTCGTGATCTGTCGCTGTTATTCCTTCTTATAGATGAGGACGACGATGATGATGAAGAGGAAGATGTGCTTCCAGTTCCCCCACTTCAAACAGAAATCAGTTCTGGCTGGAGGAATTTGTCAGCTTTCTGGTAAATATGTTGCAAAATGTCACTGCAGGCTGTCTCACACTGTCTGGACGTGTCAGCGGCTGTCTCACACTGTCTGGACGTGTCAGCGGCTGTCTCACACTGTCTGGACGTATCACACTCTCAGTGGCTGTCTCTCTCTTTTAGGTTACTTGGTTTGTGTAATAACTTTGCCTACGTGGTCATGCTCAGTGCGGCTCACGACATTCTCAGAACGGAGACCAATGAGACCTCCACGGTGAGTGTTCCCTTTGAGGAAACAGACAGAATGTTATCCCTGTAAGGCTGCACCAAGCTTCCGTGGCAGGGTTGTGGTATAATAGTAAGTATGGTGACTATGTAATAGTACACTGGGAGTCCGTGGCAGGGTTGTGGTATAATAGTGAGTATGGTGACTATGTTAGATGACATTGGGAGTCCGTGGCAGGGTTGGGGTATAATAGTGAATATGGTGACTATGTAAGATGACACTGAGAGTCCGTGGCAGGGTTGTGGTATAATAGTAAGTATGGTGACTATGTTAGATGACACTGACAGTCCGTGGCAGGGTTGTGGTATAATAGTGAGTATGGTGACTATGTTAGATGACACTGACAGTCCGTGGCAGGGTTGTGGTATAATAGTGAGTATGGTGACTATGTTAGATGACATTGGGAGTCCGTGGCAGGGTTGGGGTATAATAGTGAATATGGTGACTATGTAAGATGACACTGAGAGTCCGTGGCAGGGTTGTGGTATAATAGTAAGTATGGTGACTATGTTAGATGACACTGACAGTCCGTGGCAGGGTTGTGGTATAATAGTGAGTATGGTGACTATGTTAGATGACATTGACAGTCCGTGGTAGGGTTGTGGTATAATAGTGAGTATGGTGACTATGTAATAGTACAATGGGACTTCGTGGCAGGGTTGTGGTATAATAGTGAGTATGGTGACTATGTAATAGTACAATCGGAGTCCGTGGCAGGGTTGTGGTATAATAGTGAGTATGGTGACTATGTTAGATGACACTGACAGTCCGTGGCAGGGTTGTGGTATAATAGTGAGTATGGTGACTGTTAGATGACATTGGGAGTCCGTGGCAGGGTTGTGGTATAATAGTGAGTATGGTGACTATGTTAGATGATATTGGGAGACCGTGGCAGGGTTGTGGTATAATAATGAATATGGTGACTATGTAAGATGACACTGAGAGTCCGTGGCAGGGTTGTGCTATAATAGAGAGCAGTGTTTTGATAATTTTCTCTCTCTCTCTGTCTTTCTCTCCCTCCAGCTCAATATTTCCAGATCTAACAACAGCCGGTATGACTGTAATGAAATCTCCACCGCGGTACGATCAGTCCTCTTCCTATTTCTGTTTCATTCACTGTTTATGATGTGTCTGTTTCATAAATTCCCATGTAGTGCCACACAAGGTTTCCTTACAGTTTACTATAATTTCTGACCTCCGTACTCCATCACAACTTCTCTCATTTAAATCCCTCTATTCTGATCTATCTCACTCTCTACATATTTGAGTCTCTTAGTATTTCTCTGTCTTTCACTATACATGTCTATCTCACAGTATTCATTTCTGTATCTATCCATCCACCACTTAGTGCTTGTGTGACAGACCGCCTGGCACCCGACCAGGTGCCTCTGCCAATCGATGCTCCTTAGTGCTCACCGAGTACTCCAAGCACTCCACCAGACCCCATCAGCATTGTAGTCCCCACTTCCAGCATTACAGCTACCCACCCTGGACCCCAGTCCAGATTCCAGCTTCACGTGGGTAGACCTCTCCTCCAAGAGAGTGTAGCAATATGCTCTTAAAAGAGCAAGTGATTATAACTCAGAGGAGTATTGTGATATAGCAATCCCCAGAGACGAGGCTCTGTATTGAGGGTAGGCAGGAACTCGTTTAATGGTAGCCACAACTGGCCTTTTATGCAAGTCCCCATGCAAGGGGCACTCTTCCTGGATGTGAGAGTAAACCACAGTATAAACAATTACACAACCACATTGGCTCTCAGATCCAGGACACTCCCATAGATAATCAGAACCTGGGAGATAATTGAGTCATAGACTGTACTAAATCAATTATCTCCAGGCAGAAAAACACAAATTTGTATTAACAAAAAAACCCAAATACATACAAAACTCCCCACAAATGTTACATCCCTTGATAGCCCTGATCTGGGTGACCAACATATCCAAAAATCACCCAAATCAGTTCAGGAGCTCAGGAGTTTCCTGGAAGTCATTTATTTGACCGACCGCACACATGGTCCCATGTCCAAAACAATTCCATAGAATCAGGGCTTGCGGTCGGTCTAGTTCGGTAGTTTGGAAAACGAACTAACTACTGAACATAGTCAATGTTCTTATCCTGGAGCTTGTTCCCCTCAACCAGACAAACTATTTCACGAACAGTGCCCTTCTAAAGTGTATAGAACCGAACTCAGGCGATGATAGAAGTCCAGCGGTGTTCAGGAGTTTCTGTATCCAATATTAGTTCCATGAGATTCATGCCCTAACACCGTTCCCTGCGTTCATGCGAACAAGATGGCCGCCACCTCATGGTTGTCCATAGCAATTGCGGCCACCCAGACGAACAATTAGAACACTGCGGTGAGAACCGTTCCAAGGTGTTAATAGGTGTTAACAAGCTCCCAGGTGGTCACTGGTTCGTGTGGTTGTTTGGTAGTCGAATGGGACAATGTTAGAATAGGAGGGGAATGCAAACTACCAAACAGAATAGCAAAAAGGCCCGAACAACGTCTTTTATGAGCCTTTTTGCATGGCCCATAGTCCTGAGGTAGGAGGCTGCAAACCGGCTTCTCCAAGAACATGTGGCGAGGTTACTTTCAACACAGCTTGTCTGAAACTCTTGTAACTAGTGTGTGATATACCCATTACTGTAAGTTTTAACACTGCAGAGCTCTGTGATACTCGTACACACTGCACATTACTGTGAGTGCAGCTCAGAGATACTGATATACACTGCCCATTACTGTGGAGCTCTGTGATACCGTCATACACTACACATTACTGTGAGTTTTATTGCTGTGGAGCTCTGTGATACCGTCATACACTGCACATTACTGTGAGTGTGATTGCTGTGGAGCTCTGTGATACCGTCATACACTGCACATTACTGTGGGTTTTATTGCTGTGGAGCTCTGTGATACTGTCATACACTGCACATTACTGTGGAGCTCTGTGATACTGTCATACACTGCACATTACTGTGAGTTTTATTGCTGTGGAGCTCTGTGATACCGTCATACACTGCACATTACTGTGGGTTTAATGCTAGATATCCTTTTAATACAAATGAAAGATAGTTATTTTGCTGGACTGTCCCTCCAATTATAGGGATATGTGCTAGTGTTTGTCTTTTGATGTCTGTATGTCTCGCCTGTTGATGACGCTCTCTGTAATTAATGTTTTCCTTTATCTATCTGTGTTCCAGGCTGTACTTCTAGCGGATATTTTACCCACATTGATTATCAAGTTCTCGGCTCCGCTCTACATCCACCGGATTCCGTACAAGTGAGACATACAGAAAGAGAAATTGTCTGCTCCCTGTTGCTGGGTATCTGATTTCTGCTATCATAGAGCATCATTTACACTGTCTCAGAGTCACATATTGTCAGTCTTTGACAGTCACAGTGTTGCTATCTGTGTCGTCAGTTACAATGTGTGTCTCTTACATTAGCATGATGTTTGTGTCTGTCACCCAGTCACAGGCTGTCTGTCTCTTAATCACATGCTCTTTGTCTTGATTTTCACTTCCACAGTGTCTATTTCTGCCTCTCTGTTAACCGGTGTCTGTCTATAGACAGGCTCCCTGACGGCGCCCCGGGCCACAGTTAAAGGGTGTCTCTCTCTGTCTCACAGTTAAAGGGTGTCTCTCTCTGTCTCACAGTTACAGGGTGTCTCTGTGCATTCTCACAGCTGCAGCAAGTTTTCTCATTGTCTCCTATTCCACACAAATCTCTGTGAGCCTTCTCGGTGAGTCTCAAACCTGTACAAACATGTTTATATACCCTATGTGTGTCTATATACAGCTCTATGTACTGTGTGTGTCTCTATATACAGCTAGATGCGCTCTGTGTGTATACAGCTATATGTACTCTGGTTGACTCTATATACAGCTATATGTACTGTGTGTGTGTGTGTCTATATACAGCTATATGTACTCTGTGTGACTCTATATACAGCTAGATGTACTCTGTGTGTCTCTATATACAGCTAGATGTACTCTGTGTGACTATATACAGCTAGATGTACTCTGTGTGTCTCTATATACAGCTAGATGTACTCTGTGTGTCTCTATATACAGCTAGATGTACTCTGTGTGTCTCTATATACAGCTAGATGTACTCTGTGTGTCTCTATATACAGCTAGATGTACTCTGTGTGACTCTATATACAGCTAGATGTACTCTGTGTGACTCTATATACAGCTAGATGTACTCTGTGACTCTATATACAGCTAGATGTACTCTGTGTGTCTCTATATTCAGCTAGATGTACTCTGTGTGACTCTATAAACAGCTAGATGTACTCTGTGTGACTCTATATACAGCTAGATGTACTCTGTGACTCTATATACAGCTAGATGTGCTCTGTGTGTCTCTATATACAGCTAGATGTGCTCTGTGTGTCTCTATATACCGCTAGATGTACTCTGTGTGTCTCTATATACAGCTAGATGTACTCTGTGTGACTATATACAGCTAGATGTACTCTGTGTGACTCTATATACAGCTAGATGTACTCTGTGTGTCTCTATATACAGCTAGATGTTCTCTGTGACTCTATATACAGCTAGATGTACTCTGTGTGTCTCTATATTCAGCTAGATGTACTCTGTGTGACTCTATAAACAGCTAGATGTACTCTGTGTGACTCTATATACAGCTAGATGTACTCTGTGACTCTATATACAGCTAGATGTGCTCTGTGTGTCTCTATATACAGCTAGATGTGCTCTGTGTGTCTCTATATACCGCTAGATGTACTCTGTGTGTCTCTATATACAGCTAGATGTACTCTGTGTGACTATATACAGCTAGATGTACTCTGTGTGACTCTATATACAGCTAGATGTACTCTGTGTGTCTCTATATACAGCTAGATGTACTCTGTGTGACTATATACAGCTAGATGTACTCTGTGTGTCTCTATATACAGCTAGATGTGCTCTGTGACTCTAGCAAGCTAGATGTGCTCTGTGTTGATACTCTATATACAGCTAGATGTGCTCTGTGTGTCTCTATATACATTGGATGTGCTCTGTTAATGAACTATATACAGCTGGATGTGCTCTATTGTGACTATATACGGCTAGATGTGCTCTGTGTGACTCTATATACAGCTGGGTGTGCTCTGTGTTCTGACTCTATATACAGCTAGATGTACTCTGTGTGACTCTATATACAGCTAGATGTACTCTGTGTGTCTCTATATAGAGCTAGATGTACTCTGTGTGACTCTATATACAGCTAGATGTACTCTGTGTGTCTCTATATAGAGCTAGATGTACTCTGTGTGACTCTATATACAGCTAGATGTACTCTGTGACTCTATATACAGCTAGATGTACTCTGTGTGTCTCTATATACAGCTAGATGTACTCTGTGTGTCTCTATATACAGCTAGATGTACTCTGTGTGACTCTATATACAGCTAGATGTACTCTGTGTGACTCTATATACAGCTAGATGTACTCTGTGTGACTCTATATACAGCTAGATGTACTCTGTGTGACTCTATATACAGCTAGATGTACTCTGTGTGTCTCTATATACAGCTAGATGTACTCTGTGTGACTCTATATACAGCTAGATGTACTCTGTGTGTCTCTATATAGAGCTAGATGTACTCTGTGTGACTCTATATACAGCTAGATGTACTCTGTGTGACTCTATATACAGCTAGATGTACTCTGTGACTCTATATACAGCTAGATGTAATCTGTGTGTCTCTATATACAGCTAGATGTACTCTGTGTGTCTCTATATACAGCTAGATGTACTCTGTGTCTCTATATACAGCTAGATGTACTCTGTGTGTCTCTATATACAGCTAGATGTACTCTGTGTGTCTCTATATACAGCTAGATGTACTCTGTGTGTCTCTATATACAGCTAGATGTACTCTGTGTGTCTCTATATACAGCTAGATGTACTCTGTGTGACTCTATATACAGCTAGATGTACTCTGTGTGACTCTATATACAGCTAGATGTACTCTGTGTGTCTCTATATACAGCTAGATGTACTCTGTGTGTCTCTATATACAGCTAGATGTACTCTGTGTGTCTCTATATACAGCTAGATGTACTCTCTGTGACTCTATATACAGATATATGTGCTCTGTATGTCTGGAAATATTATGTACCTTGTGCAATGAAGACTGGTATAACAGCTACCTGTTCATTTATTTCCTCCCGAACTGCCTGAGCCTGAATGATTATACCTTGCAGTTCGGGTGTTGGTTCAAATGATTCTCCATATGAATGACAGTCTCCCAAGTATATTCTCCCAGTAAAGTAGACAGGTACCCAAACATCAGCCGAAACTAGATGAAGGGTATAACAGGAATGATTTTAATGGGTGCCACACTGGCTTTTATGCAAGTCCCCATGCAAGGGGCACTCCCACATGGACCTTGTGGGGAACATGGACACAAAGGTTACAGCCAATAATAATACAGTGACAAAGTGTGACACTCCTAATACAAACAGATAATCCCCTACTCTCCATAATTGGGTCAGATAAAGTAATAACTCAATTATCTCCAGGCAGAAAAAACACATTTTTCACAAAACTTGTAAAGTACCCCAAAACCCATTAAATCCCCTGATCTGGGTGACCAACATATCCAAATATCAACCAAATCAGTTCAGGGGTTTTGGAATTTTATGGAAGTCCAATTTTGACCGACCGCACACGAGGCTCCTGCCCAGAAACAGTTCCATGAGTTGAGGCTGTGTGGCCGGTCTATTTCAAAAAGTCATAAAAACGGATAAATGCACTAACTGCACCCCCTGGCTCGTGGGAACAAAACTACTGAACAGCGCTCTCCTGGCTGTTCAGGAAAAGGAAGCAGGCGTTCATACAGTTTGACCCGTGTTCAGGAAGTCAAGTGTGCGATTTTAGTTCCAGACACTCGACGACCAACTCCCGCTGCCTCCTTTCGTACGATCAAGATGGCTGCCGTTTTCTCCTGTACGTGGCGTTCGACTATATGAACGGGGCCACACAGGGAGAACACTTAATTGCCTGCTCTCTTTGAAGATAATGAGCCAGGGGGGTGGTCGGTGTTCGGTAGTTACAGCTACCGAATGCAAAAAGTCAACCGAAATAACACTGTAATTTCTTCACACCTTGTAATTAATTACTCTCCTTCTCCAGGTGTTGTTTTTGCCAGTGTATCGTCAGGATTGGGGGAGATAACTTTTCTCAGCCTCACTGCTTTCTTCCAAAGGTACCAGATATATTTGTATTTGTAAAACAGGTTAGGGGGGTTTACACAGCACAGACTCCCTACACACATCCTGAAGAAGAGTCTAAATATTTAACTTCCTTTTATGGTTGTTTAATTTACAGTTTCTTATCTCCTGCTTTAATTGCCTGCTGCATTAAGCTTGTGTGTGATTAAAGTTTAATAAACAGAGCAGGAGATAAAAACTTCTAAAGTAAACACACTGTGCTGTAAGATCTGACTTAAAATTAAAACTCTCTTCATGTTGGTGGCATGAGTCACAACAAGGTCAGGTGTGGCTAGGGTTGTATAATCAAAGTGATGTTTTAACTCCGAAATAAAAGAGAATTGAGCAGAAAACTGATTTATTAAAGGGACACTATAGTCACCAAACCAATTGTATCTTATTAAAGCTGCTTTGGTGTATAATAAATAAAAAGAACTTAAATGACTGACATAGGGTTTGTGAGAACCGAGGTAAGTGGAAACAAAAACAAAAAAGAATAACTAATACCTTTTAAAATGTAACATTTATTTATATAATTAAAAAATATAATTTAGTGCTATGGCTTAAGATCATGTTATGGGTTACACCACATTTGGAATGCTTATGTGGATTACACTGATCTATTTTCTTTTTAGCTTTGGTTTTATATAGATAATGCCCCTGCAGTCTCATTGCTCCATTATCTGCCATTTAGGAGTTAAATCACTTTCTTTATGCACGTGACTTACACAGCCTTCCTAAACCACTTCCTGTAAAGAGTCATCTAATGTTTACACTTCCTCTATTGTTTAATGTAGAATGTATTCTCTCATGTTCTGTTAAGAATATGAAGACCATAAAGGATTAAAAGAAACAATAGTGCTCACTGTATAAAAGATGCCAGGATTAAAATGTTATTTATTGCAGCAGATCCGATGCCATCAGCATCTTTATCCCACAATGCATTGCATACTTTTCATTCTGTCTGAGTGCAGTATGACTGCGTGTAGATTTGTGCTCAATAAATGTACAGAGTGTGAATAAGAGAATGTATTCTCAGTACAATACACTGAGCAGGAATAAGAGAATGTATTCTCAGTACAATACACCGAGCGGGAATAAGAGAATGTATTCTCAGTACAATACACCGAGCGGGAATAAGAGAATGTATTCTCAGTACAATGCACCGAGCGGGAATAAGAGAATGTATTCTCAGTACAATGCACCGAGCGGGAATAAGAGAATGTATTCTCAGTAGCGGGAATAAGAGAATGTATTCTCAGTACAATACCGAGCGGGAATAAGAGAATGTATTCTCAGTACAATACACCGAGCGGGAATAAGAGAATGTATTCTCAGTACAATACACCGAGCGGGAATAAGAGAATGTATTCTCAGTACAATACACCGAGCGGGAATAAGAGAATGTATTCTCAGTACAATACACTGAGCGGGAATAAGAGAATGTATTCTCAGTACAATATACCGAGCGGGAATAAGAGAATGTATTCTCAGTACAATATACCGAGCGGGAATAAGAGAATGTATTCTCAGTACAATACACCAAGTGGGAATAAGAGAATGTATTCTCAGTACAATACACCGAGTGGGAATAAGAGAATGTATTCTCAGTACAATACACCGAGTGGGAATAAGAGCGTGTATTCCATAAATTTGCAGAAGACTCTGGAAACGCAATGAATAGATTAAATGACATTGTTTTTATGGTGTGTAAAGACATTATATTGATTCCAGTCTCCATACAAAGCTCTACAATGTGATATCAGTGATTTGTCTGTATCCCATACCTGAATAAGCTTTTTTACTCCACAGTGATGTGGTCTCATTCTGGTCATCTGGCACTGGGGGAGCTGGCATCTTGGGTTCCCTTTCCTATTTGGGACTAACGTTGGCTGGTCTGTCTGCTCGGAACTCTCTCCTTGTTATGCTCATGATACCAGCTTTACTCCTCATTAGGTGAGCTGCTGAAGACTGGCCAGGGTAAATCAGACTCATAGACCTGTTGGGTCGGGGGGATAATTAGGATAGATGGTAGATATAATGGAATTATGATGGGAGTAGGAGAAGGAATAAACGGACTGGTATGATTTGGAGTGGGGTGGAATAAAGAAGTGTATATAATGGGTAGTGGATGGGAAAGAGGCTGGTATGATGGGAGTGGTGGGAGATGGATAATAAGGACTGGTGATGGGAGTGGTGGGAGATGGATAAAAGAGACTGGTGTGATGGGAGTAGTGGGAGATGGATAAAAGGGACTGGTGTGGTGGGAGATGGATAAAAGGGACTGGTGTGGTGGGAGATGGATAAAAGGGACTGGTGTGGTGGGAGATGGATAAAAGGGACTGGTGTCATGGGAGTGGTGGGAGATGGATAAAAGGGACTGGTGTCATGGGAGTGGTGGGAGATGGATAAAAGGGACTGGTGTGGTGGGAGATGGATAAAAGGGACTGGTGTCATGGGAGTGGTGGGAGATGGATAAAAGAGACTGGTGTGATGGGAGATGGATAAAAGGGACTGGTGTGGTGGGAGATGGATTAAAGGGACTGGTGTGGTGGGAGATGGATAAAAGGGACTGGTGTGGTGGGAGATGGATTCAAGGGACTGGTGTGGTGGGACTGGTGGGAGATGGATAAAAGGGACTGGTGTGATGGGAGTAGTAGGAGATGGATAAAAGGGACTGGTGTGGTGGGACTGGTGGGAGATGGATAAAAGGGACTGGTGTGATGGGAGTGGTAGAAATGAGGATTTTATTAAATTAGTCTTTGGACGGTAGGTCTCCCTCATTCTAGTTGTTATTGACTAAAACTTCCAGAACTTTTAGAAACCTGGCAGCTTCATCCCTGAGTGTGGCTATCATTTAATTTCACCTCTTTTGTCTCCTGCCCGCCCTCCCACCTTTATTCAGTTACTTTTTCCTGATGCGCCCCCCATCCTCGCTTCCCCGATGGTTTTTCCCAAAAGCTGCAGAGACAAGTGTCACGGATCGACAGCCTCTTATACAGGCATCAGCCTCTACAGTGACAGGTACAGCCTCTTATACAGAACACAGTGACAGGCATCAGCCTCTACAGTGACAGGTACAGCCTCTAATACAGAACACAGTGACAGGCATCAGCCTCTACAGTGACAGGTACAGCCTCTTATACAGAACACAGTGACAGGCATCAGCCTCTACAGTGACAGGTACAGCCTCTTATACAGAACACAGTGACAGGCATCAGCCTCTACAGTGACAGGTACAGCCTCTTATACAGAACACAGTAATGGGTACAGCCTCTAATACAGAACACGGTGACCGGTACATTGTCTAATACAGAACACAGTGACCGGTACGGCCTCTAATACAGGACACAGTGACGGGTACAGCCTGTAATACAGAACACGGTGACAGGAACATTGTCTAATACAGAACACGGTGACAGGTACAGCCTCTAATACAGAACACTGTGACAGGTACATCGTCTAATACAGAACACATTGACAGGTACATCGTCTAATACAGAACACAGTGACAGGTACATCGTCTAATACAGAACACATTGACAGGTGCATCGTCTAATACAGAACACAGTGACAGGTACAGCCTCTAATACAGAACACAGTAACGGGTACAGCCTTTACATTATTTTCAATGCCTTAAAAATCTCTGTTTTAACGTTCTTTTAATAAAGGAATCACTCTCTATAGTGACACATACAGTATTATACAGAGTGCGTCTTTAGTGTATTCTGGTTCACTGGGTTTTGCGTTTTATATTTTTGCTGTTCTTGTTTAGAGATCTGCATACATTATTTCCAATGCCTTCAAATTCTGACTCTATAAAGGGGTCTCTCTCTGTACCAGGTTTATTATGAATATTCTGCTCTTTTCTTTAATTTATTGTAACCATTCACATGCTGCATTTTCTGTCTGATCAACCCTTCAGATCCTGATTTGACAACTTCACAGAAATGGAAGATTATACCAGTGAGAATCTCTTTATATCTCATATCCCACAGTCTGTCTCTATTCTTTTCTCCTGCAGTCTGCCTGTCTATTCTTTCTCCCACAGTCTGTCTCTATTCTTTCTCCCACAGTCTGCCTGTCTCTATTCTTTCTCCCGAAGTCTGCCTGTCTCTATTCTTTCTCCCGCAGTCTGCCTGTCTATTCTTTCTCCCACAGTCTGCCTGTCTCTATTCTTTCTCCCGCAGTCTGCCTGTCTCTATTCTTTCTCCCGCAGTCTGCCTGTCTCTATTCTTTCTCCCGCAGTCTGCCTGTCTCTGTTCTTTCTCCCGCAGTCTGCCTGTCTCTGTTCTTTCTCCCGCAGTCTGCCTGTCTCTGTTCTTTCTCCCGCAGTCTGCCTGTCTCTATTCTTTTCTCCCGCAGTCTGCCTGTCTCTATTCTTTTCTCCCGCAGTCTGTCTCTCTATTCTTTCTCCCGCAGTCTGCCTGTCTCTATTCTTTCTCCCGCAGTCTGCCTGTCTCTATTCTTTCTTCCGCAGTCTGCCTGTCTCTATTCTTTTCTCCCGCAGTCTGCCTGTCTCTATTCTTTCTCCCGCAGTCTGCCTGTCTCTATTCTTTTCTCCCGCAGTCTGCCTGTCTCTATTCTTTTCTCCCGCAGTCTGCCTGTCTCTATTCTTTTCTCCCGCAATCTGCCTGTCTCTATTCTTTTCTCCCGCAGTCTGCCTGTCTCTATTCTTTTCTCCCGCAGTCTGCCTGTGTTTAGTCTTACAATCTCTCTCTACAATGTTCTTTTATTATACTATACTGGCTCTGTGTAGTCTGTTACTGTCTGGATATCCCCTCTTTGTGGTTAACCATTCCATGTTTAATTACAATAAGTGCTTGCCCTCACGCTGTCTGTCTGCTGTCTCTTACTACCACTCTTTACTGTTTTGTTGACTTTATACTTGGCTGTCTCTCTCCCACTTTTCGTTCTCTCTCTATATTCTAACGAATGTTCCTTGTTTCATCGTAGTCCCTGCTGAAATATATGATCCCGCTGGCGATTGTATACTTTGCTGAATATTTTATCAACCAGGGGCTGGTAAGTCTGGGGATTTATTGGAGGTTCTGGTCCTGCGAGACTGGAGATACCGTTGAGAACACCGAATGGGTTGATCTGAGTATTTAAGGTCCAATTATTAAACAGAACAATGCCATCAATGTAGGTGTATAGGAAATACAATTCTGATATGATGGAGGTGATATGACAATATAGAAAGGTAGTTACTGTTGGGTAGGATACGAGACAGGCTGATGAGGCTATGAGAATATGGACATTAAGGTTCTCTATTGTATAGTACATTAGCTGGGATGGTGTGACTAGGAGAATGCAGTGGTGGGTCGTACATGGTAGGATATTAGATTAGTTGATGGGACTTCTAGATTTGATAATGAGAATGTCAGGGTGGGATTAATATTTATCTTTCTTCCTCCCAGTATGAACTCATATATTTTCCAGACGTTTCCATGAGTCACTCTGAGCAGTATCGATGGTAAGTCTAATCCGCTCGCAATTTATAAATAAAATTACTTCACCGTTGCAACCCCACATGGGCTCCCTCTCAACCCCTTCCTGCCATACGGGCTCCAGTCATCTATTCTCTTACTGCTGCTGTGTCTCCCCATTCCATCACTATTTACAGAAATAAAGAAGTTTGTTCTACAGGGCTAACAGAAGCAATCTCTAACTCTTTATCTTTACGTCTTGTCCTTGTCTGTCCGCAGGTATCAGATGCTGTACCAGGCAGGAGTGTTTGTGTCTCGCTCGTCCCTTCGCTGTGTGACTATCAGAAGGATCTGGATTCTGTCCCTCCTCCAGGTATGTCTGTCTGTCTGTCTCTGCAATCTGGGTTTCAGCCCACAATCTCAGAGTCTCTGTAACGTCATGTTTTTCATTTTGTTTAGTGTGCGCTGGCTATTTTCCTCCTCTTTGGGATTGCGTACCTCTTCCTGCCCAGCATTGGGCTGCCCGTTATTTTCCTGATAATAATATTTGAAGGTTTGCTGGGGGGAGCTGCATATGTGAACTCATTCAACAACATTGCAGTCAATGTAAGTAGACACTGCTTTTTAATATGACCTCCTACAGTCCTTAATAGCTCAGGCAACCTCGACCTGCAGAACACTATAAACACAGGATTATGACTGAGTAAATTCATACACATGGTCCATACACAGCCCCAGTTAAAGAAATTGCTGTTAACATGCAGAGTTTAACATTATGGATGATCGGTGTCCTATAATCTCCCAAGAAAGACTGAATGGGGCTAAACATTTATTGGAAGATATGGGTAAACCATCTGAATTTACATTGTGTTACGAAAGCTGGGGGATCGTCTCCTATCACGCTGTATCGTGCACCTCTCTCCTACTCAGTAAATGTTCTTCAGAGATTGTGCAAAGGGAAATACCTTCCTCCGGCCCTATGAAAGATGTCAGAATCCAAACATTCCCACCTTAGATGGGTGATATTAATGTTAAAGCTCCCACTTTCCATGATATTAAGATTTCTACATTAATGTCATTTTCCTCTGTGCGATGAGAATATGTTAATTCCTCTGTGTTTTTAAAATGTTTCCTTCCCACAGAGCAAGCCTGAGCACAAAGAGTTTTCTATGGGTGTTGCCTGTGTGTCTGACACTCTGGGGATATCCCTGTCTGGGGCGATCGCCATCCCAGTCCATAACTACTTCTGCAGTCTGCCATGAGAAAAGGATTCTGGGTCCAAAATGCTATATTGCACGTCTACTCCAGGAGGAGAGCACAAATCATTGTATGAAGGAAATGGTCCGAGTACCTGGAAGCCATCTAAATTGACTTCACTTCCCATGCCTGCACTCAGATCAATAACTGATCAATTGATTGATCTAGAATATTGAAGATTTTCTATGTCGTCTTTTTTTTATTTCACTAGAAATGTTACATTTTCTTATCAACATCATGACCAACTCGGATTAAAAGCTGCAGTGCCTGATTGTAATAGATCTTACCAATTCACAGATATCTGGATTTATTAGGTAATTGCTGAAAAAAGTATTTAAATGTATTCTGTTTAAAACACTACTTGTTGTTTTATTATTTGTTTGTATTGTACATTACTGCTGGAGATATTGTATCTGTTTAAATGTATAGTATGGCATTCATTGTCAGAGTGTAGTAAAGCACATGGCCTGAAGGGGTCACTAATGCACACACCCCTTGCACTATTCTAAGTATTTAACCAGGAAAGGTACATTCAGATTACTCTGGGTCTCAAGTACGTTCTGGGACTGTTACTTTTGCCCAGCATCCAGGGGTTGTTATTATTATCCAATGTAATGGTATTCCATTTATCTAACTCAGAAGGATGAATACACAAAATACTTTATTGTCGTGACAAATTAGCTGATGCTAAGTACCATCACACAATTTAAAGTGCGACAATCTCTTAAAGCTGTCCGTTAGCCATCTGAGAAGTTAATGGTTTCCTCTGTTCATTGTGTCCACATTCTGCATGTCTTTGCTCAATAATAGATTTGAACCACCAGGAAGATTAATCAGTCCTGGCTTCCAAGGCTGAATGGATGCTTATTGCTGACTTTCTATATTAAACATGTGAAAAGTATAGTATAAACCATGGGTCGTCAACCTGGTCACTATCGCCCACTAGTGGGCGTTTCAGGATTCCAGGTGGGTGGTAGGGATTTCGGCGGCTAAAACTTCAGTTTGAGAGCGTGGGTGGCAGGGCCGGACTGGCCCAGCTAGGGCTGGGCTGACAGCCCTAATGATTATTATGATTAGTCCTCCCCTCGGACTTTGCCAGCCTGTCAGTCCGAGGGGAGTAAGGAGGGAGGAGCTGGAGGCTGGTGTGGCTGCCAGCGGCCGCAGGGAGACCTGTCAGTCTCCCTGCACAGTCTGAAACCATTTTGGCCACATGCCCCGCCCCCAAACGGAAACTACGCCTCCCACACACAAGCTCCAAAAACACCCTTTAAAACACCCTCCTTTCTAAAAAATATTCTGCACTTGCGCGAAAACTGGGGGGTGGTAAGGAAATTTTTCCATCAAGAAAGATGCATTAGTGGGCGGCAGATAGAAAAAGGTTGACTACCCCTGGTATAAACCCTCAGATCCTGGTAACAATAACTTGCAAAAAGGTGTACAGCTTTCCATGGATGTAACCAGAAATGTTTAGAGAGAACACAGGACATGTTTAGGGAGGGTTACATAGGACAAAAGGTGTTGTTTACTACACATAACAAAACTACAATTTGCATAGATAAAGTATGGCTGTGAGATCCTGGCGCCCGACCTATTGGACACAATGTGCTGTCTTAACCAGGAGAGTCTAACAAATGTAAATCAAATCCATTCTTTCCTTAAACAATATAGCCGCTTTAATTTAATTTTGTGAGATCCTATTGTTACTGCAGTAGCATACATATCCATAGATATCAGGGAGGTCCACTTCCATTATACCCTGAGGGACTGACATGCTCTACTGGGCTATACAATATACACAAATGGGAGCAGATCTGGAGAGGAGCTGAGAGCTGGGACAGACGGATATCCATCATTAAAGGCTCTACCATGTGTTATCTTTGGTGTACTGTTATGTTTTATCTAGAGAAAGTTTTTCTATGGTTTATAAGTAAAGAAATGGTTCTTTGATAAATTAAGAGCGAGAGCTATATTCCATTCTTACACTTCTACCCTTTTTGGCTGTTAAAGAGTCGAATTAAAGACACACTCACATTTTCTGTCTCATTGCTATGTAAATGAATGGAGCCCCTGCAGTGAGGTGCATGCATACAGCACTATGGAAAGATATCCCATGTGCAGCATTTTTATGTAAATGCAAAAATGTGCATGAATGTGCCCATGGGGCGACAATTACAAGCTGAACACAGCAGTGCTGCGGTGGGTAACAGCATGTTTACATACTTCCTCTGCAATGCTCACTTCGTGCACCGTTTACTGGGTGAGGGAAAGGACAGCATTACTTTAACCCCTTAAGGACACATGACATGTGTGACATGTCATGATTCCCTTTTATTCCAGAAGTTTGGCCCTTAAGGGGTTAAGGAAGTGTAGATATACGTTTAGACATGTGGGTACGCAATGTAACAGTACTCGGAAACAATCCCTTGACGGAAGCCATGGGCTGCTTGTTTGTGGTACCAAGGATAGTCATATCTTGACCCTGGGTGACCAACTATTGACAATGTCCCTCTTGCAAAGAATATCTACCAAGTGTTTCCAGCGCCAACTAAGCAATTATTTTACTCAGGGGCTCGCTTCTAAGGCCACCATTGGAAAAGCAACCATCACTACAGTGTAATAGTGACATTGAGAGGGCTCTGGTGGATGCCCATGCTCCTCTGCCACGGTATGACAAGGACCAACACACAGAGCTTTGTTCACCAGTAGTGAAAGAGAAATTGACTGAGGCATTTTACCGGTACTTAGACTTGGCCAGGCTTTATGCTAACCGAAAATGAACGAAGACCTGTATAATAAGTTAGAAAATGGTTAGTCACTAGCTGAGCAAAACAGACGGTAACAGTAACGGAGAGACAAGCCAGGATCAAGGATTAGAGAAGAGAATAGTCAGGGGCAAGCTAAATGCTCGGAATAATACACTAGAGAAACGCACTCTCGAATCACAAGGGAAACTACCCCATGGTAAAGCTTTGCATGCAGGGAGGGCTTAAATAGGGCTATGAAGCATGTGATTGGAACATGTCACTCCTGCCACTCGAAATGGTGCAAGAGAATTTCAATAGAAATTACGCAGGTAAGTGAGCATCAAAAATCAAGCAAGGTGTGCTGATGTCATAAAACAATGCAATTTGCAGAGACCAGAATCCAAAATAAAGCAGGTAGAGAGTGTAAAAACTGCTGCAGGAGTGACGTGATATCGCTAAGACACACTGATCTAGCATATACTGTGACCCACTTACAGCACTGTGTAAAGGCTGCAGCAGAGATCTGTATATGCTCAGTGGCTAGCAGGGACATTATTGTGATGACTGTATAACCATAGGTCTAATTTCCAAACCTCATATACACATAAGCTGGTGTCGTGTAATATTCTGGATGGGCTGCAGCATTTTAGGTACAAACTCAATAAATGGGTCGCTGCGGGGGTGACCACAGACTGGTGTGAGGTTCCTTCTGTAACGGATCGCAGATCCACCGCTTTTTCGCCCAGCACTATGTAACTTCTTTGTAAGTGGTGGACACTGGGCTCGCAGAGAAGCACTGAGGGCAAGCTCTGGTCCAAACCTTCTCACAGACCAGCATTGGACTGATAGGGTACAAAAGATAGAGCAGGTTTAGTGCTTATCAACCAGATAAGGCAGGGCGGCAAACCAAAAAAGGGGATCCCTCTGGCCCTTCTCAGAATGAACAGAAATAAATGGGTATCGCCACAAGAATACAATATAATACTGTAGTAAGTAACCAAATGAAATAGTCCAGAACAAAAAGAAATACCCCTTTAAATGCAATGTAAGTTCTTGGGTAGATGGTAGATTCTTCTACTGGGAAGTAGGTTCCTTGGTAAGATCCGCATAGATATGTAAAACAGAACAGGAAATCCAATAGTGCAATAAATCAACATGTGTGGTGTATATAATAAAACAGTGATATCTTGCTCACATTTAATGGAGCTATGACCAGCTCCAGTTGTAGTAGCGTACAGTGGTATAATCCCCACTTACGAGATATGTGGATAAGTGTACGAAGGAGAGGTAGTTTTGTTGAACCCAAAATGATAAGAATATAAAAAGGCAGATAATAGTGCTCTCTGTTGCAATAAAAAAAATGTCTCATTATAATTGTAGTGAATGCTCACAAATATAGAGCAGGCAAACTACTCTATGGACAAGGAGCCGGTGGTATGATCCCCACCTAGGATTTCTTTGGAGTAGTCAGGAAGTAAACAGGATAAGAAAAATTAATTTAAAACAAAAATCCTTTATTAGATAAAACAAAACAAAGTATATATGGAAATTATTACTTTCTTGTTTTTTATGAACTGAGAAAGTTCCAGTACTGTTAAAGATGCCTTCCAACATAGCACTGCGACTACCAATATACGCACACACGGGGATTATACCGTCCAGGCGCAAACATAGGCTCCAGAAAATTGTAAGTATCTTTAGTACACCAAACTCCGCTCCCTTTTCTTATCTCCCATACTGGCTCTTCCCTATCTGGATCTGATTATATTCCTGCATTTCTTTTTCTATCTACAACATTTCCAGAAAGAAGAGACTCTGGTTTGGGAAGCTCAAGCTGCCACAAGTATTACAAAACAAGCGCCAGAAATCCTATCCTTTTATCTACTTCCTGTAAAGAGTCATCTAATGTTTGCACTTCCTTTATTGCAAGTTCTGTTTAATTAAGATTTTCTTATCCCCTGCTATGTTAATAGCTTGCTAGACCCTGCAAGAGCCTCCTGTATGTGATTAAAGTTCAATTTAGAGATTGAGATACAATTATTTAAGGTAAATTACATCTGTTTGAAAGTGAAACCAGTTTTTTTTTCATGCAGGCTCTGTCAATCATAGCCAGGGGAGGTGTGGCTAGGGCTGCATAAACAGAAACAAAGTGTTTTAACTCCTAAATGGCAGTGAATTGAGCAGTGAAATTGCAGGGGAATGATCTATACACTAAAACTGCTTTATTTAGCTAAAGTAATTTAGGTGACTATAGTGTTCCTTTAAGGCCAGTGTGGCTCTCTGGGAGCCCCGGGCAATGCATGCTGGGTACTCACAGGAAGCACGTGATGCAGTGTCCCAGTAACACGAGTCAGCGGCTCCCCGCGGAGCATGCCGGGTAATGTAGTGCACGGCCATTGTGGGCGGTGATTGCGGGTGCGGACTACACCTCCCGTCATGCTGTTCGGGTTAGTCCTGGCCGCTAGCAGCGCTGTGAGGCCCGTTGCATGCCGGGTAATGTAGTCCCATGGCGGTGACACCGGAAGTGGAGGCCGTGTTTCCGGTTGGTATTAGCTGCCGGCTCGGCGCAGGCGCGTTCATTCTCCGGCCTTTCCAGCCAGGCCCAGCGTGCGAGAGAGAGGCTCCAGGAGGTGAGAGCGGGGAGACACTGAGCGGGGGAGCGGGGGAGCGGGTGAGCGGGGGAGCGGGGGGGCCCCATTATACTGAGAACTGGGGGGAGAGCGGCTCCAGGAGGCGAGAGAGGGGGGGGGGACACAGCACATTATACTGACTGCCAGGGAGGGATCGGGGAAAGGAGAGACAGCATGGAGCGAGCACACTGTGCCTCTACGGCCCCACATCCTAAATTACTGACCCCAAGAGCTAGCAATCTACAGCCATTTACTGAGAGGGTCCCAGTATACTGACCCCAAGAGCTAGCAATCTATAGCCATTTACTGAGAGGGTCCCAGTATACTGACTGCTGGGAGGGATCGGGGAAAGGAGAGACAGCATGGAGCCAGCACACTGTGCCTCTACGGCCCCACATCCTAAATTACTGACCCCAAGAGCTAGCAATCTACAGCCATTTACTGAGAGGGTCCCAGTATACTGACCCCAAGAGCTAGCAATCTATAGCCATTTACTGAGAGGGTCCCAGTATACTGACTGCTGGGAGGGATCGGGGAAAGGAGAGACAGCATGGAGCCAGCACACTGTGCCTCTACGGCCCCACATCCTAAATTACTGACCCCAAGAGCTAGCAATCTACAGCCATTTACTGAGAGGGTCCCAGTATACTGACCCCAAGAGCTAGCAATCTATAGCCATTTACCGAGAGGGTCCCAGTATACTGACTGCCAGGGAGGGATCGGGGAAAGGAGAGACAGCATGGAGCCAGCACACTGTGCCTCTACGGCCCCACATCCTAAATTACTGACCCCAAGAGCTAGCAATCTACAGCCATTTACTGAGAGGGTCCCAGTATACTGACCCCAAGAGCTAGCAATCTATAGCCATTTACCGAGAGGGTCCCAGTATACTGACTGCCAGGGAGGGATCGGGGAAAGGAGAGACTGCATGGAGCCAGCACACTGTGCCTCTACGGCCCCACATCCTAAATTACTGACCCCAAGAGCTAGCAATCTACAGCCATTTACTGAGAGGGTCCCAGTATACTGACCCCAAGAGCTAGCAATCTATAGCCATTTACCGAGAGGGTCCCAGTATACTGACTGCCAGGGAGGGATCGGGGAAAGGAGAGACAGCATGGAGCCAGCACACTGTGCCTCTACGGCCCCACATCCTAAATTACTGACCCCAAGAGCTAGCAATCTACAGCCATTTACTGAGAGGGTCCCAGTATACTGACCCCAAGAGCTAGCAATCTACAACCATTTACTGAGAGCGTCCCAGTATACTGACCCCAAGAGCTAGCAATCTACAGCCATTTACTGAGAGGGTCCTAGTATACTGACCCCAAGAGCTAGCAATCTACAGCCATTTACTGAGAGGGTCCCAGTATACTGACCCCAAGAGCTAACAATCTACAGCCATTTACTGAGAGGGTCCCAGTATACTGACTGCCAGGGAGGGATCGGGGAAAGGAGAGACAGCATGGAGCCAGCACACTGTGCCTCTACGGCCCCACATCCTAAATTACTGACCCCAAGAGCTAGCAATCTATAGCCATTTACCGAGAGGGTCCCAGTATACTGACCCCAAGAGCTAGCAATCTACAGCCATTTACCGAGAGGGTCCCAGTATACTGACCCCAAGAGCTAGCAATCTACAGCCATTTACCGAGAGGGTCCCAGTATACTGACCCCAAGAGCTAGCAATCTACAGCCATTTACCGAGAGGGTCCCAGTATACTGACCCCAAGAGCTAGCAATCTACAGCTATTTACAGAGAGGATCCCAGTACAGATACAGCTACCCCATCCCAGTATACTGACAGAACATACACATATTGGCGGTAGTCAAGGTTTGTGTTTCCTATTTTGCATCACATGAAATACTTGTTTATGTCTACAGACTTCATTGGTGACCAAACTTTTAATAAAATGTAAGTAGTCAGCCACTCTGACTGGTACCCCGCATTTCTTGTGATACATTAGTGACCATGCTCGCCTCGGATACAGATATTCACCGCTCTCGATCAGTGAATGGGGTTCAGAAGAGGGTTATCCTGTCCTATGATATACTCGCTGGGAAACTGGTGGAAACCCATTTTTATTTACTAAATAGAAAGTTACTTATCAGTTCATCGCTTGGCTTAGCCTTGCTGCATGGGTGCGGCTATCTTTAAGTCCTCCTTGGTGGGAAGCATAGTGACAAGGCCAAGCACATGATATCTAAAAAAAAGTATTCTCTGAGCCAGCTTCATTCGTTTTACAAAAGGCCGCGAGCGCTCGGATATGTTGCTTCTCACCAAAGAGGGCATACAGAGGGCTACTCCCGTGGCTATACTTTTATATTTCAATGGTTTATGTAAAATAAGATATTGTGCACTCAGTTGATGAGTTGGAGCTCAGCGTGGGGAGTGCGAGGGGGTGTATTTGCCAAACCCTGGAGTGAATATACAGCCATCTTGGCCGTCCGATTTAGAGCAGTTAGTTCTGTAAGTGGACCGTAGAGCTCTGTTTCAGTGGGATGTAGTATGCTGGTTTGGGTACATGCTGAGTCAGCGGTTACTAGTGGTTCTGGTTACATTGCATCAATGTGTCAGTTGCCCTTTTTATTTGTTTGGTAACCTGCTTTTTGTGGTATTCTGGAATTTTGTTGTCAACATGATTATTTTTTTTTAAATCCATACCGATAGCCTCCATTACTTTGCTCACCATAAGGAACATTACCTGTCCTATTATCCGACATGAAGGCTGGGTCACTGTGCCCTACTGATCTACTTCAAGCAGATCTGATACTTTCCAGTATTTCATAAAGATATAGAGGTACTTACTAAAGGGAGGGAGGTACTTACTGAGAGGGAATTCTAAGTGAGCTTCAAATTTAAGGCCAAAGTAGCCGAACTGAAAGCCTAGCGAACTTGGAGAATTATTCCTGTTCTGCTAGTTTGAATGTAAATTGGAAATTCACTTTGAATTCTCACATTAGTGAATATCCCTAATAATCTTAATGAAATATTGATTCAAGGAATAGTTTAGACAACATACCTTATTCAACTAAATTAAGTTGTTATGGTGTCAGAAGGCTCCTGGGTGCACTGTTACCTTGAGGGATTAAACCCCAAAGTGAACCTTCAGTGCCAATCCTCAGGTCTTCTGAAATTTCAGGTTCAGTAAGAGCGGAGTGCCGCTGGGCAGGGGCGCCTCTATCTGAGAGCAGTCAGCTGATGCTCTAAGCCGATTAGTGCCTTCTCATTCATAAAACTGGCTTGAAAAAGGTACGTTTCTTTTCTAACCAGTTTTGTGAATGGAAACCACTCTCTGTAAATCAGCGTTGCTCCTGCCCAGTGGCACACCCAGGTTCCTAAAAGGTTTAGATGAGGTTATGGTGCCCGGAGTGCCTTTTTAACATTGTGTTGGCATTCCAACGAAATCCTAAGTAGGGACTACTTTGCCTTATGGCAAAGCTTGAGGTTGACAAAAGGGAGCTCCTTTGTCCAGTCCCAGCATTCATCAGAAATGGCAGCTGTGGGTTTTCGGGGTTTGTCTATGGAGGGTCTCGCGGATCCTGGCAACTGAAATGACAAGAACCAAAGGGCACCGGTATCGTGAAAATTGCCTACGTCACAGGGGCAGCCGGAGATAAGTAAAACTCCCCTCCCCAGCATCCTGTGGCCACCAGACCCCAAGAGGATCTGTCAGTTTCTGTTTCTATGAAATTTGTAAAGATATCCAAAATTGGTAGATCCGCTTTAAATATACAGTATAGCCCTAATCGGATGTAGCTGAGCTGCGTTGTTTTGTTAATCTAACATCAGTGTTCCATAGTGTGTGTGTTTGATTATTGTTACACATTGTACACATTCGGCCCATCCAATCTTCCCAATTCTCTAAATACTTTCATTAGTCCCTGGCCTTATCTCATAGTTAGGATAGCCTTATGTCTATCCCACGCATGCTTAAACTCCTTTACTGTGTTAACCTCTAGCATAGTCTTCACCAAACTCTGGCCATCCATATTTTGCTGAACTACAACTCCCATGATTCTATAAATGAGTGAGTTGTAGTTCAGCAGCATCTGGAGGGTCGGCGTTTGGGGAAGGCTTTTCCTTATGACCAGAGTGTTTGCTGTTGTAATTCTTTGCTTCATGATGTATTTTAAATGTTACAAAATGAGCGATACACACTTTAAATGTGTCTGAAGTTTGCTTAGCTGACATTGGTCTCCTTTATACTCTGTCCCCCCAGATTACTGAGATGTGCTGAGCTTGGCATTGTGGGAAGGCACGGGTACCTATTCTTTTGTGCTAGATTTTTTTTTTCTGCATCTCTTTTCATTACCTAAACAACAATATGAACTTTTAAAATTTAAACAAAAAGTGTTTTCTTTGCATAAAAAAGATAGTATCACAGTCAGTGTTTGCTGTTATTTGTCTCAATATCATATTTTTGTTTTTCTAGAATACTGTGTCAATATAGAAAAGACAAAATAACAAAGTATTCATAACTTCCTTTACATTATCTGCAGGTTTGTGTGACCTCAAAAAGACCTCAATATGTCTCGCTTTTTTGCTACTGGCTCAGACAGTGAGTCTGAAGAATCAGTTTCTGGAGATGAGATCCTTCCTAAGCCAGTGGGAGGCACCTTCGGCAAGCAGTGAGTGTCTCCTTAATATTACACCTAGCACAGGACCTAAAGGCAGGCAGAAAATTTATACTGTTTACGCTAATTATTATTCATAACGCGCCAACAAATTCCACAACGTTGTACAATAAGTGGACTCACAAACAAGTAGTTGCAACAAGACATGTTACACAGGCAGGAACAGAAGATGCTGAGGACCCTGCTCCAACAAGATGATAATGGCACTCAGGGAAATGGCAAACACTCTTTATCGCTTCTGTTTATATTTGGCGTTTAGTACGTTTTAAGTCTAATTTACAGATTTATTTTATGTTAAGTAAAAATGTGAATATATCCAAGAGACTTAGGATTGATTGCAGCAAAGATTTTGTTTTTAAATGTTGCCTTTTTTTTAGTAGAAATATGTGAACACGGTAGCAATAGTTTTTCTGCACTGGTCAGATAATCATGCTTTTCTCTTCCCTGTCACATTCTTCTTTACGTCTTTTCTTCCAAACCCGCAGGCCTCTCCTCCTCAGTGACGATGAAGAGGACACGAAGCGAGTGGTGCGCAGTGCCAAGGATAAGAGGTGGGTTCCCTTATTCTGCCCAGGCTGTGATTTAGTTTAATCTTTGCCTCTGCCAGACGATTTCAGAGACCTCTAGTTTGAAATCAGTTGTCTACCTATGTCCCCTGTTGTGTCTACCTATGTCCCCTGTTGCTCAGTGTCTTAGAACATGGATGTCAAACACCCTTCCTATGGCTGTCAGGGAATTATGCCAGTGGTACGCCAACAAATTGTAAGGTTTTGGAGCTTGACATCCCTATATTAGAAAAGGCCATCTTTGTGCTTACTGGATGACTTGAAATGGCTAAAAAATATATATTTTTGCTGAGTTCTGATGAGATTTCCTATGATGTCTTTATATAATAAATGTAGTGAATTAGGATCTGACTGGCAAACTCTATGGCGACCGTAGCATGTTTGGAAAAAGCTCCTTTACTATGGTCACAATTTGGCTATTACAGCCTACATTTTGCTGTTATTTGTTTACATGATTACAGGTGTGGCCCATGGTTTTCTAATAGACCGTGTCTGTCCTTCCTAGATTCGAGGAGCTGACAAACCTTATTAAAACCATCCGCAATGCTATGAAGATTCGGGACATGACAAAATGTCTGGAGGAGTTTGAGCAGCTCGGCAAAGCCTACGCAAAGGCCAAGAACATTGTGGATAAGGAGGGGGTTCCCCGCTTTTACATCCGCCTCCTCTCTGATTTGGAGGATTATTTGAATGAGGTGAGACCCAGCTGTTGGGCTTAATGTCAGGTCTCATTCAGCTCTGCACAGTGCATTTGAGCTTTATAGTTTCAACAAACAGTCCCATTTCCAGAACTGAGGGTATAATCAGGCTGATTACTGCCGTGGTATGGCCGCTATCATGTTACTAACTATATCTCACAACCTCATGCTGGACAGGAGTCTATGGGATTGGAACAGACCAGAATGACTGAGGTTTACCTGTAGCTTTTGTTTATTTTATGCATTTTTATATAATACACACCACCTCCGGCATGGAGTGACCTGAAGCTAGTGATGCGGAGGCAGGATTGGGTAAACTGCGATGCTCCCCCCCCTTGCTTCTCTTCTGTTTTTTTTTATTTCACTGTGGTCACAATATTGGACCGTCCGTTCCTAAGCTTGCCATTCCTGGTTGCAGATACCTGTGCATATTATCAAAGATACTGAGATATGTATAATTATCCCCATTTATCTGATACATAATTGTTTATCCATAAGAGAGAGGAACATTGTAACCAGTGCTGATGGGTGTTGATACTTGTTTCACAGCTATGGGAGGACAAAGAGGGAAAGAAGAAGATGAATAAAAATAACGCTAAAGCCCTGAGCACACTGCGTCAGAAACTGCGCAAATACAACCGTGACTTTGAGACATCAATCAGTGCCTACAAACAGGTAAGGAGCCAGGTCTTTACACCTTTTACACTATGTGAAAATGCAATTTTTAATGATTGTTTCTTGTAAACTGACTGGTGTCATTCCGTGTCTCTCAGAATCCCGAAGAGTCGGCGGATGAAGACCAGGAAAAAGATGAGGATTCAGATGGTGAGAAATCTTTAGATTCACTTTAATGTTGTGTTTAGGGCGCCGAGGTGTGTAATACTTTTCTTGGGAGATGGACATTTTAAATGTGTTCTGTTTTGGGGTTCATTGGTAAACTGCATCATATGGGAAAGAGTGCTGACGTAATGTGACTGGCATCTATGTCCAGCCTAGAGTCTCTTCGCTGTCACTTTGAATGTTGGGGGTTATTTTTATTTTATTTTTTTATGACACAAACATATAATTATCACTTTTCTATCAGCTTCATCTTCCAGTGATGACGACGACGACGATGACGACAAGGATGAAGGGATGAGTGCCAGCAAGTTTCTGAAGAAGGTGGAATCTGCCCCGCCTGATACTCGCAATAAATTCTTGAAGAAAGCAGAGGTAGGCCAGATTCTCCTGTGCTAGCATCTCTCTTGCTTGTTAATCTTAGATTTACCTCCTCCTTTCACGTTTATACACGTTCATGTCTTTCATCTGCAAAAGTAAATTACTTCAGTACCCTCATAACCACTCTCTCCTGTCAACCCAAACGACTATTTCACGCTTCTAACTCTCCTCTTAGCCCGGTTGCTCCTCCTCCTGTCTTAACCGCTACAAACTTTGCTGACAAGATCTCTACAATCAGGGAAGAGATCTCTCTCCTTCCCCTTACAAAACTTCCCCCAGCCTCACTCCCTCTGCTGTTCTGTGTTCATTCACATCCGCTACAGTGGAAGAGGTTTAGGCTCTGCTCTGGTCCTCCCACCCCACCACCTGCTCCCTAGATCCAATTCCCTCGCATCTCATTCATACTCTCTCCTTCTCTTTCTCCACTTCTCACTAAAATTCTCAATCTTTCCCTCTCATCTGGCATATTTCCATTACCCTTCAAACATGCGAATATAACCCCGATTCTTAAAAAAAAAAAAAAGCCCAACCTTGGCTCCAACTACCGTCCTATCTCGCTACTGCCTTTTGCGTCCTAGATCCTTGAAAGAGTTGTGTATAGGAGATTGACAGACTTGGAGTTCGATTCTCTGCTAGACCTGCTTCAGTCTGGTTTCCGCGCAAAGCACTCTGTGAAAACTGCTCTGACCAAAGTATCCAATGATCTACTCGCTGCAAAATCTCGTGGTCACTACTCTATCCTAATTCTCCTTGACCTTTACGATGCTTTTGATACTGTTCATCATCAACAGCTTCTTCTCATCCTCCGCAATATCGGTCTACAAGATATTGCTCTCTCCTGGTGCTCCTCCTACCTCACCCAGCGCTCTTTAAAAAAAAAAAAAATTTATTGTCTCTTTCCTTGGCTCTGCCTCTTCGTCCCAACCTCTCTCTGTTCAGTCATTGGTCCCCTACTGTTCTCGATCTATACTGCCTCCCTAGGTAAACTCATCAGCTCCTTTTGGATTCCAATATCAGTTCTATGTGGATGACACGCAAATCTATCTCCCTTCCCCTGATCTCTCCTCGCCCCTCTTGACTAGTGTCTCTGACTGCCTCTCTGCTATTTCTAACTGGGTGGCTGCCCATTTCCTTAAGCTCAACTTGTCCAAAACAGAACTTCTGGTCTTTCCTCGCTCGTGTTGTTACTCCCGTTTGTGTCTCCTTCCATGTTAATGGTGCTACTATCCACTCAACCACACAGACTCGCTGCCTAGGTGTTCTCTTTGACTATGACCTCTCCTTCACCCCTCATGTCCCGTCGATCGCAAAATCCTGCCACTTCCATCTAAAAAACATTGCATGCATCCGCCCCTACTTAATGCCAGATGTGGCTACGGTGCTTGTCCATTCACCTGTCCTTTCTCACCTTGACTACTGTAATCCGCTTCTCAGTGGTCTTACGTGCTCCCAACTTGCCCCGGTACAGTCTATAATGAATGCGTCGGCAAGGCTTATCTTCCTGTCCGCCCACGCCTCATCCCTCTGTCAGTCCCTATATTGATTTCCCATAAAATATAGGGATCTACATAAAATTCCGGTTCTTGCTTTCAAATCTCTATATAAGACTACTCCCACCCATCTATCATCCCTAATACACAAGTATGTCCCGTCTAGGCCCCTACGCTCTGCCGAAGACCTACGTCTATTCTCTGTTCGTACTCCCAGCTCTGCTCACATTTAAGATTTCTCTAGGGCTCCTATGGAACTCCCTTCCCTTTTCCATTAGATGCTCACCCAGTCTCCACTCCTTCAAAAAAAATAATTAAAAACCCATTTATTCACAAAAGCGTATCAAACTGTTAATGGCACCAAAAGAAAACCACACTTAAGTCTTCATTGAATAATCTACTTCCCTTACCTTTTGTGTCACTTTACCCCAATGTAAGCTCATGCCCTCAATCCCTCTGTTTCTGTGCGTCAAACTTGTCTGGTTACAATTTCATGTTTGTTAGTCCACCATTTGTTGGCGCTATATAAATATAATAATCTAGCCATTTTTTTTTTTTCTTCGTTTGCTTGTGTATGTTAATGTTCCTTCCGTGACCCCACTGGTAACTCACGTTCCCTTTCTACAGGATGAGGAAGATGAGGAGGAATCATCAGATGATGAAGATTGGGGTTCAGATTCTGAAGACTCTGACTCAGAGTCAGAGGATGATCAAGGGAATCGAACATCCCTGGCTTCAAAATTCCTTAAAAAGTGAGTAGCACAACTCGCATTGGCCAAATATCCAAGATTGACCTGTTGAATGTAGCAAAGCCTTGTTAAAGCAATGAAACGCTACTTTTTCATCCTTTTGGCGTTTTTCATATTCACATTTGGCTTCAGTTTAAGTAGACCGTCCCATTACTTTATTCAAAGGCATTTCTGTGTGGAGTCCATAAGTAGAATGCCTTCCACTACTAGGGTAATGTCTATAGTCTGGTCTGTGAATTTAGTTTTTTGTCATAAATTACCAACATTCTAGTTCGGGTAGTTGGTCGCTCTCACCCCCTTAATTATTTTTGATTGTGCCATTTCATGATTGTAGGGTAGCTACTGAGGGTGACCGCCAGGCTCAAGAGAAGAAGAAAGAGGACAAAGCCAAGAAGAAGCAACATCGCAAAGTAAAAAGCAGAGAACATGAGGATGACATAGAGGAAGAGGATAATGAAGCAGGTGGCGAGTGGGAGAAGGTGAAAGGAGGAGCTCCCATGGTCAAGGTAAGCGAGAGCCTGAATCATGCCCTGACCTTTCATGTTCTTTTGTTTCCTCGCTCATTCCTTTCCATCTCTCTCTTCACAAGGAAAAACCCAAGATGTTTGCTAAAGGCACAGAGATCACACCAGTGATTGTGGTCAAAAAACTCAATGAAATTCTGCAGGCCAGAGGGAAAAAGGGCACTGACAGGTGAGCACCGATGGAAAGTAAGTTGCAAATTGCTGGGGTCTGATTTATTGCACATTTTCACTAAACTCTGACTCTCCTCCTCCAGAGCTGCTCAGATAGAGCTCCTTCAACTCTTGGTGGGAATCTCCGAGGAGAACAACCTGGGTCAGGGTATCTCCATCAAAATAAAGTTCAACATCGTTGCCTCTCTGTACGATTATAATCCCAATCTGGCTGCCTTCATGAAGGTATAAAGATTGTCTACACACTGTCATGAGTGACTTGATTCATTGAATGCTGCGTTGTCTAATTAATGGACATGATGGTGGAATTCCTGGTGGCCAACTGATTTCTTTTTTTCTTATTTGATTTTCAGGCTGACATGTGGAAGAAGTGTCTGGAGTGTATCCATGATCTGCTTGACATCTTGTTTTCAAATCCCAATATTTTTATCGGGGAGAATATTGCTGAAGATTCAGAAAACCTTGCAAACCTAGATCAGGTATTAATATAAACTACTCTATTGGGATTATCTTCTGCCTTCAGGCATCATACACCACTACGATATTCCCCATACTGCGATTCTGGATACAGTATATAACATTTATATTCTAATTTGTCTGTTATGTATGCCAAGAAGCAGACAAATTGCTCCCAAACCTCTCTAGAACTCCAGCCTGCAATAATGGTGTTTTTTTGTATATATATTTATTTTAATTTTATTTTTTTATAGCCCATTCGTGTGCGTGGCTGTATTCTCACATTGATTGAAAGGATGGACGAGGAGTTCACTAAAATAATGCAGAACACGGATCCACATTCTCAAGGTATGCTGAAAGCCCCGGTCTAGGTGTGCTCAGATCAGGCAATGGGTGAGAAGAGCAGTAGAAACGAACGCAGCTTTTCCCTACGCTTTGCTTCCTTAATATCAATGTTCTTGAAACTTTTGCACCTACCATTGTGTCACTGCCAGGCTTTATATTTCATCAAAATAATATATTTCATGACTTTTGGGTTTTAACACAACTGTTTAAGGATAATGGACATTATAATTAATTGTAGCAAGCCAGATTTTGCAGGCTTTGAGCATTTAATTTGCTTTCGGTTGGTGATGAGACTTCCCAACATGCGCTATTTTTATACATTTCTTTTGCCTGTCAGATTGAGTGCCCTGGCAGACTCTGTAAAATCGTGCTAAGAGCTAACCTCTTCTCTCCAATGTCTGTCTCATGCAGAGTACGTGGATAATCTGAAGGACGAGGCTCGTGTGTGTGAAGTGATTGAGCGGCTTCAGCGTTACCTGGAAGAGAAAGGAAGTACGGAGGAGATCTGCAGGGTCTACCTCCGTAGGATCATGCACACTTACTACAAATTCGACTACAAAGCCCACCAGAGGCAGATGAGCAGTGAGAGCGATTCTAAGGTAACTTCCCCACTACTCCTGGGTTCTGTCAGGCTTTATCCATCATAACTTGTTTGGCACAGGAACCTGGAGTCCAACTCTCCATTTCTGAATGGTCCCACCAAGCCCTGGCAGACTCCATCCTCGCGTGTCGGGGTTAGAACTGGAGTTTGACATAACCTTTCCCTATATTCCACCCAGCCCTATCTCAATGCAAAGGAGGATAAAAGTAAATTTTATAGAACACTATTACAATACCAGCTCTCCACGTGTACCCATTGCCTTGACACATGCCTGCCTGACTTCCCTTGCCAATAATAATCTGGTTCCACTTAGTTGTAAAATAAAATGTCTGTCACCTGTGTCCATGAGTTGACATTCCCTGAGGACCGTGCATCTGATCTTGTTTTTGATACAAGATACAAAAATGTAATTGAAGTGGGCTCTTGGCAGCAAAATCTGGCTCCTGTAACCGTTGCCATGGAAAGCCAGTTCCATGTTGTATTGAAGTTTTGTTTGTGTTTTGTTTTCCAGTCTGAGCAGGACCAAGCTGAGAACGAGGCAGAAGACAGTGCCATCCTCATGGACAGACTCTGCAAGTATATTTATGCCAAAGACAGAACAGACAGAATTCGAACCTGTGCCATACTTTGCCATATTTACCACCACGCTCTTCACAACCGCTGGTTCCAAGCCAGAGACCTGATGCTTATGTCCCACCTACAAGACAACATCCAGCACGCAGACCCTCCTGTGCAGGTATTGAGCCATTATATGGAAGACAAAACATTCACATGAATTCAGAAAGAGAATTGTCAGGATGTACATTTTTGGCTTGTTTTGAAAACTTTTAGAGATCCAAACAACTGATTTAGTAATTGTAGCAATGATTCCTAATTGACAGAGTTTGATGTGTTTCTTGGGGGGAAGGAAATACCAGACTATCAATTCTGTACAGTTGGAACTCTAACCTTTATCAAGCTAAAGCTTATGTATGTTGTAAACTGAAGGAGTAAAAAAACACATTTTTAAACTGCAACCTGTCCATTTTGGCCTGAATGTTGCCACTAGGTTTTCAGTTTAACAAAATCACTGTCTAGTAAATTAACCTTCATTATAGACGGCTTATGTTAAATAAACACGTGTTTGTATTTAATGCACTAACACTACAACATTTTACTTTGATTTTCTAAGGATTAGTATTTGAAACTGTCAGGATTTTAAGCTTACATATTTTGTGTAATACTAGCAAATCGAGCAGAACTTTAAATCTTGTGAGATCTACTTTTGTTTTATTTAATTTATTGTGTTTCAGATCTGTGATAGAAAACTGTTAGTCATGTTTAAATGCTAATGTTGCATTTATGTATTTTTTTGTAACACAATTTATTTCTTCTATCCTTCTAGATTTTATATAACCGAACCATGGTGCAGTTGGGTATCTGCGCATTCCGGCAGGGAATGATTCGAGACGCCCATAATGCACTGCTTGATATCCAATCCAGTGGACGAGCCAAAGAGCTCCTGGGCCAGGGATTGTTAATGAGGACCATGCAGGAGAGGAACCAGGAGCAGGAGAAGATCGAGAAGAGGCGACAGATCCCATTCCACATGCACATTAACCTGGAGCTGTTAGAATGCGTGTACCTAGTGTCTGCAATGCTGCTGGAGATCCCATACATGGCCGCACATGAGTTTGATGCACGCAGGAGAATGATCAGCAAACAGTTTCACCACCAGCTGCGTGTTGGAGAGAGACAACCTCTACTGGGTGAGGAACAGGGCTGGAAAGCAAGGTCCAGGGCTGTGTATGCAGCACCATTAATACGGTCTTCAAAAAGAAACGGAAAGGTTTATGGTTCCCATTTTTTGGCATTTAAAATAAAAAATGGTTGCCCTTCACCTGTTCCTTTCTGGAGTTCTCTTGGGTTCTTCAGGCGATACTGGCAGTGTAGATATTAGATTTTGACTTTTAATTTTTTTAGGACCTCCTGAGAGCATGAGAGAACACGTGGTGGCTGCCTCCAAGGCCATGAAAATGGGAGATTGGAAGACATGTAAGAACTTTATCATCAACGAGAAGATGAATGGGAAGGTGTGGGACCTGTTCCCCGAGGCTGAGCGAGTGCGGAACATGCTCATTAGGTGAGGGAAAGGGGTCTTCACTAGATGGCACTACTGTTCTGGATTGTGGGGGGACAACGACAACTTTTAATCTGCCTTATTTTATTCTAAAACAAATTGCATATTTAAATGTTTCTGCTGCAGGAAGATACAGGAGGAATCGCTGCGCACTTACCTTTTCACCTACAGCAGTGTGTATGACTCAATCAGGTAAGACTTTGGAATCCCTGGTTTTGTTGTTAGCCATATTTCCTCCACACCCTGAGCTGTAAAGTTAAATGATCTGTTTCTCTTGCAGGATGGGAATTTTAGGGGAAATGTTCCAGCTCGAGATTCCGACTGTGCATAGCATTATCAGCAAGATGATCATTAGTGAGGAGCTTATGGTGAGTTGGACTTCAATGCCCAGCAATCTTTACAGGACTTTTCTGGTCCATTCCTGGGGGAGATTTGTTCTTTTTCAGCTGGCTGTTACTTACTCCATGCTTGTCCATTTAGGCATCTCTTGACCAGCCCACCCAGACGGTGGTGATGCACGGCACAGAGCCCAGCTCCCTACAGAACACGGCACTGCAGCTGGCTGAGAAGCTTGGCAACCTGGTAGAGAACAATGAAAGGGTATTTGACCATAAGCAAGGCAGCTATGGTGGATACTTTAACAGAGGTGAGGATAACTGCAGGTCTCCTGCCTATTTTAACATCTTCTATGCCATCTCCCGAATATTTGACTTGCTCTAAAGGATACGCCATACTTTCTGATATCCTGAAAGAGGGCCCACCATAGATACTGGTGGCTTGCAGGTGGTCTCCCCTACTACTGTCCTCTTTACTATTAATTTGCTTGTTTTGCTGGATTCTAATCGTATACAAATGCATATAACTCCTGCAATGCTGTCTTATCATCTTTTTTCCAGACCAGAAAGATTCCTACCAGAGGAAGGAAGGAGGAGGTGGAGGATATGGTGGCGGAGGTGGATACGGCGGTGGAGGACATGGTGGCGGTGGAGGTGGATACGGCGGTGGAGGACATGGCGGCGGAGGTGGATACGGCGGCGGAGGACATGGTGGCGGAGGTGGATACGGAGGAGGACATGGTGGCGGAGGTGGATACGGAGGAGGACATGGTGGCGGAGGTGGATACGGAGGAGGACATGGTGGCGGAGGTGGATACGGCGGAGGACATGGTGGCGGAGGTGGATACGGCGGAGGACATGGTGGCGGAGGACATGGCGGTGGCGGAGGATATGGTGGCGGCGGAGGATATGGCGGAGGTGGATACGGCGGTGGAGGATATGGCGGCGGTGGATACGGGAGGAGAGGATACAACAGACGTGACCAGCAAAACCATTGAGTTTCAGTCCTAGACTATGCTACCATTTAGATGGTGTGATCAGCGCTTTCTGTTCCAATTCTATATCAATCTTTATTTAGTAAATAAAGGGATATGGCTGTAAGTTACACCGACTTATGTCTTTGCTGTCTGCCTATCACAGGCTGTTTTGCCAGATCCTTCCAAGTCCTCGCTCTGCCTGGCTCTGTTAATGTTTGTTGTCTCCTTGATCTCTTTCCGATTCCTGTTTATTGCTTTGAAGATTAAACTCCCAAATAGTGAATTTTAACGGAGATGTTCTTCATTTCAATAATGTCAAATGGATCTGAGGTCTACGAGCTCTACAATCACCATGGAAACAATTGGTTATTAATGTGGTTTTTGGCCCATTTTTTTCGTCAATCTTGCTATTCTACATCTCCCAGATTTATTTCTTTAAAATGCCTTGACCTTCCATCTCCAAGCTTGCCAGATCCACAACCTTTTATAAATGGTTTTAACAGAAAGTGTTTTGTTTTCATTTATTTACAAATCTGTAATTTTTATACATTCTGGGCTGCTTCAGTTCATTTTGAAGAGGGGTGGCAGATTTAAAGAGGAAACACAATGTCTTTTTGCACCTTTAAAAAATAAATAAATAAATAAGACTATAATTACTGCAGAATAAAGTTCAGTAGTATGTGGTATCAGCACTTCCTTTAGATTACCCTAACCCTCAAAGAGTAACAATGAGAAGTGAAACATGACTAAAAGTACTCTGCAAACCCTGGGGTCAAGCAATCTTGGGTAACTGCATTATTGACCTAAAGTCAAAGGGGTTCTGCACACAAGTAAAGTGTACGTATGAGCTCCGTGGAGAGGAAGTCCGCTGCCCACCGGAAATAGCTCCGTAGTAGAAATCCAAAGGCATCAAAAAGCAGGGTGTAATCCATCAAAGGACCAAAAAATATACATTTCGTCCAGAGGGCATTGATGCATTTTTGACATTTCATAGAATGTAGCAACAAGTTTGAGTATCGTGTTCTCTGTCCAGGGCCTGAGGTTCTGCGTTTTGAAAACTGGAAAAAGTGGTTCTTTATCTCTTGTGATTCCAGTTATGGTGCATTTTGGTTTAATACAGCCACACTTTCACACTGACATTATGCACACGCAGCGACCCCCTCACGCTGACATTTTATACTCCACTTCAATTGTGCTCACAGACAAAAACATAAACACTCTTACACAAACAGCCATGCTCTGACACACATTCACACAAACTATAAACAGAGGGAAATGTCTAATATTGGGCATTCCATGTACCTATTCATGTTGGGTATGAATGCCTAATACATTACAAAAAAAGATTTGCTCTTCAGTACTGTGAGAAGTCTTGGATGTGGGTGTATAATGAGAAGATTCCTATGTGGTTTTACGTATGTATTGCTACCTGCATCTTGAGTATGTTTTATAAAGAACGTCAGATTGCTTATTAATCATTTTGGGTGTTAGATATATTATGGCGAGCTATTAAAGGGATACTATAGTGTTATTAGGAAACCACTCCAGCCACTTACCTGAATCCAGCGCCGATGTCCCTTGTCGGGGGAGACCTAATGCACATGCGTGGCAATGGCCGTGCTCCCATTAGACATCCCCATAGTAAACATTGCAGCACTAAGTGTAAAAAGGGTCACAGCACCCAGACCACTTCAACTAGCTGAAGTGGTCTGGGTACCTACAGTGTCCCTGTAATACAAGATCTTCCAGTCACCTTTAACATACACATAATTATCACATTTAGTGCTCCTAGCCTGGATTTTTTTTCTGGTATTTTCACTTTTTAAAAGGGGGTGGGGGGAGAAGAGCGATCAAATTACTCTTTGGAAACTGCTTAAATTTGCTGGAGAGGAAAATAAGTTAGTTTGTGAGAGGTGACTGTTAATAGTTATTTTCTGCAACTGAGAAAAGGATCTTATAGAGAGGGGGGGAAAGCACAAGACACAACGTGAATTCTACAAGCAAGCACGTGACAGATTGGCGAGCGTCCAGAGTGAAATCCACAATGCGCAGCTGTATGAGTGAAAGCAGGTGGTGAAATGTATTGTGAGTTAAAATGGACTTTATTACTGATATTGCACAGCAAAGTAATGAATAGCAGATGTTCAGATGGCGAACTGTTGGTTAGTTTGTATGATCAATGTAAAGAAGCAGATGCATTGATAAATTTTGTCTGACTAAAAAGAAACCCAAGATTAGACATGTTTTAAAATTAACATTCAGCGTGGTTTAAAATGGCAGTGCCTCAAAAAAGGGCAAATACCAATTGAAGTAGATGTGCAAGATTTGAAGAAAAAAAATTAAAATACAGACATTAAAGATAAATCTGTGTGTAATTGTGACTTTGAAGAGCAGTTGGATCTTAAATACAAACTGATTAGTAAACTTACAAAGCCAGTGAAAGAATGGTGTGTGATTATAAGGAGCAATCATAATTTAATACCAGAAGCAGATTGTCACAGAAATTCAATGTGGACACTAACAAGGTAAATTAAAGGAGATAGAGGCCGGTGAGAAAGGTTAGCGAGCTAATACATCATCAGTAGAATCTGTTTCCCTCTCTTGGGGGTTGTAGGTTCAAATCCTTTTAGGATACAGGATGGTTTTCGTAACATTTGTTCTATCACCATGATTTTTATCCTACGCCTTTTCTGTGGGTTCAATCTGTTCTTAAGTCTCTGGCTTCTTTAAAGATTGGTGTACGCACATTTTAATTAAATGTAAAATCATAAACTTCCCACATAATAAACTCTGGCCTTACTAGGACCCCTAGATGCCACAGCTGGCCCCCCAGCCTGATCATAGACAATCCCCTATGGTTGATATGCTGTGCTGCTATGTCCATGTTCCATGTGAAGGGGTTTGAACGGTCTATTGTTTGTCTGCTGTGAGAACCACGCAAGCTGTTTCCATTCCTTGGTCGCTGTCGGGAGACAGGTGGAAGGATTCACATAGCCACAATGTGACCCTGACCTGCCACGGCTCTGGGACACATAGAGACTGCCTGGTGGATGGCTGTATACTCAAACCATCACTCAGTATGAGAGAGGTAAAATACAGCCGTCATCCGTTAAAAGTGTATTTTCCATTTTGTCTCATAGGGGTTCACTAACTAAACTGATGACATAAGGAAATGACCCTAGTGGAAACATACTATAACTCGGCTTGTTTAGCCTGTACATTGCAGTTCCACAAATCTCAATATAGTGAATACTCCATACTGCCTTGTGAGATAATTAATTCCCACTTGTGTTGGTGAATGGTGCCCCCATACTGCAGATGGAATTAGAATATTGTGTGACCGCAAAGGTCAGTTTAGCGTGTTTCATTCATTAGAAAAGCCCTAATAATCATAACAAAGTATTTAACCAGGAAAGGTACATTCAGATTGCTCTGGTTTCGAAGTACGTCTTGGGGATGTTAATTTTGCCCAACATCCAGGGGCTGTTACTATTATCCAATTTAATGGTATTCCATTTATCTACCTTAGAAGGATGAAGGGCCTAATGAGTGTATGCTGTGTATGCTTGTTCGTTTCATTTCTATTCTTTTCTCGATTAGTAACAAGTGTTTTGTTTTTTCTTGGCTGGGCTTTACACAAAATGTAGTCTCCTGGGTAAATTATAAGCTCAGTCTTCTACATCAGCACATTATGAGTTAACTAATTCTGGTTAATAGAAGATTGATCTCAGGAGATACGTTCGTACTTTAGTCTGTTAACCCTTGTCTGTCTCTGGTGAGACGTGCACTGTTATGTCTGCCTTTTGTAGATTATAGAACAGTGTTCGGTTAACTCCTTAAATGTCATTGGGTCCCACCAGGATAATGTGCTTATCGCAGTGGTTGAACAGTTAGGGGTCACCGACCTGTGTACTCAGCAAACAGCTGGTGAGTTGCCTGTCTCTCCCAATCTGGGTGTTACCTCCTGTAATTGGTCGCCCTCCTCCTTTACCTGTTTTCAGAACAAGGTAATGAGGTGTTCGAGAAGAGTTGGGCAGAACAAAGAGTTCAACATGACGCTGTTGTGCAGATGTTTCCGTTTGGCTTCTCGCCCGTCTCAGGTAGTACGGGCCATCGGACAAACTTGCAGAGCAAGTGCCACTCAAAGACCTTTAGCCCAGGAGTTGGAGGGACCACTAAACTTTTCTGATGGCAAAGTATTCAAGCTTAAAAGTGGATGGGAGGTTGTCCGAGGTCTTCTGATATTTAGGATGTGCTCCTTCCCAACTCTGGTGAAACACTCTGAAAAGGTGAGTGAGGGCATGCAAGCAAAGCATATGGAAAGTATAAGGACATTTTAACCCACAGTAAACTATATTTTTAGTTTTTGTGTAAATCTCAAATGGCACTTATTACATAGTAATCAAGGTTCATAATGATAGGTTCATGGAGTTTGGCTTCCCAGACATCATTTAGCAATTGACTCTGAAATAGGAGAAAATAAACAATGAGAATCTTTACTAATTTGGTTTCAAACATTAAAAAAATCCTCATGGAATCCTATGTAGTAATCTGGTTATTGCTCAAATCAAAGTAATTGGGCCAATGACATTGCACTGTATCATCCCAATCTGGTACAAGGTGACCCGATGCCAATATGGAATGTTCAGATCCATCGTAAATTCCACAATGTGTTCCATACAGCCCCGGGTAAAGCTGAGTAGAATATATGGAGAGAGAACAAGGCAAATACTGGGATATTCAAACCTATATAAGCAGCTAAATGTATGTTGTGAATCTTGTTTATGAGCCTAATGCAAAATACTGAATGAGGTGTACAGGAAATGTGATGTGCGGAATAAGACCATGACAAAAATATATTTAATAAAGTCCTACTTATTGAAGTGTCATGGGTCTGATGAGGAAGGGGTGCTGTCCATAGCTTGTAACCCAAAATGCCAGAAAACAAGAATACACACAATCAAGACAAAACACAAGTGTATTATTATTTACAAGAAACAGATAACTTTGCATTGGAGAAGGAAGCAGGGCCTCTGGATACAGGATAATCAGGATAGCGGCTTACTCAGGAACACCGAGGGGCTGCACAGGATAGCAACTTGCTCAGGAACACCGAGGGGCTGCATAGGATAGCGGCTTACTCAGGAACACTGAGGGGTTGCACAGGATAGCAGCTTACTCAGGAACACAGAGGTGCTGCACAGGATAGCGGCTTACTCAGGAACACCGAGGGGCTGCACAGGATAGCGGCTTACTCAGGAACAACGAGGGGCTGTACAGGATAGCGGCTTACTCAGGAACACCGAGGGGCTGCACAGGATAGCAGGTTGCTCAGGAACACTGAGGGGCTGCACAGGATAGCGGCTTACTCTGGAACAACGAGGGGCTGCACAGGATAGCGGCTTACTCAGGAAAACCGAGTGGCTGCAAAGATAGCGGCTTACTCAGGAAAACCGAGGGGCTGCACAGGATAGCGGCTTACTAAGGAACAACGAGGGGCTGCACAGGATAGCGGCTTACTCAGGAACAACGAGGGGCTGCACAGAATAGCGGCTTACTCAGGAAAACCGAGGGGCTGCACAGGATAGCGGCTTACTCAGGAACACGAGGGGCTGCACTGCACAGGATAGCACTCTGGAACAACGAGGGGCTGCACAGGATAGCGGCTTACTCAGGAACACCGAGGGGCTGCACAGGATAGCGGCTTACTCAGGAAAACCGAGGGGCTGCACAGGATAGCGGCTTACTAAGGAACAACGAGGGGCTGCACAGGATAGCGGCTTACTCAGGAACAACGAGGGGCTGGATAGCGGCTTACTCAGGAACAACGAGGGGCTGCACAGGATAGCGGCTTACTCAGGAACAACGAGGGGCTGCACAGGATAGCGGCTTACTCAGGAAAACCGAGGGGCTGCACAGGATAGCGGCTTACTCAGGGAAGCAGCTGGCTCTGGGACACCTAGGATAACAAGCTCTGCAACACTGAAGTTTACGCAGGACAGAAGGACTAGACCAAAACCAAAATGAATGAACTGGCAAAAAAGAAGGGGTGAGACGAGACTAAATAGGGAGACGATAATTGCAAGGTTGGGCCAACTGGGAACAGAGTCAGACCTCTCCGTTAGGGAGCAGCAGCCTGCAACAGCGCCACAGTCAAGCAGTGGCAGTGTGAGGTACTGCACCAGACTGAAGAGAACAAACCAGTTTATATGATTTGCACTGGCACATGCCAAAAGGAAGATCTGTGAGTGAAAATGGGGACAATCGCTCACCTTGTGCAAGCCCCGCGCCAGAACCTGTCCTTCTGGTCCAGGAAAGTTGCATCTCCCAGGAGTGTCTGGAGAATCTCGCTTGACCCAAATCAGTTGTCCACCATCCCGCACAGAATGTGGACACAATTCTTCTGTTCTTCTAAGAATAACTTGCCAGATGTCTTGCATTGTTCCCCAGAATGGACCGGAATAATCCTATTTATTTAATATGGGGTTTGGTTAAACAAACACTATTCTCTCCCCACCTTGACTGTTGTAACATATACCAGGCAGTAATTAAGAGTAGCAAACTCTGTGAATACTGCTGGGAGAGGTTACTAGTTTACTTGCAGTGTATGTTAGTGTCTTACCTACTGCAATATTACCATCTGATTCCTACCTGGAAGACTCCTATCCAGGAATGATGATACAATGTATCCCAAGACAAAAATCTAAATAAAAAGTGACATTACCCCAACAGTGGACTATTCTTTCTAGGCATGTGTTTTCTTTTCACTGGTCTGTCTCGTTTCTCTGTTATCTTATAGTTAATGTCACTGTCACGCAGACTGCTAGGCCGCCGTCTCTTTGAGTTGGTTATGAGATGGTCGGTTTATGGACAGTTTGTGGCCGGGGAGACAATTCCTGAGATCAAAGATAGCATCAGTCGGCTGAGAAAGATGGGGATTCGTCCAATGTTGGCAGTTCCCATTGAGGAGGACCTGGGCGAGAGCAAAAGCGGGTGAGATTGGGCACAATGTTTGTATTTCTAACACAGTCTGTCTCCATGTATGGGTAACTATCTATCCCACTATACACACAAAGGGGAGAAGCAGTTTGTGCAGCCCTTAGAAGGGTCACATGACTCACACCTTCTACCTTATCAGAGTATAAAGAAAATTCAAATAATTAAAGGGACACTTCAGACCCGTAAAACACCTGAGTTTGCTGAAAACCTTTATGTGTGAAGTGTACTCTTTTTTTAATTTTACAAAAAGTGCAGATTTCAATAAAAATTGAACCTTGTTACACCCCCCTGGCTGTCAGTCAAAGAACCGGACCTGTTAGTTCCTGGTTTGTTTAGCTCAGTGTAACTAAACTCAAAAGGCAGCAATTGCCCAGAGCACCTGCCTTGCAAAGACTTCTCATTGAGCTGCACTGGGAAGTCTCTGATTGGACAGCCACAAAATGTCTGGGTGGGGTTAGAAGGGGAGGGTTTCTAAAAGCTGCAGACAAGAGATCTGCAGGTATTGCATGCTCTTTTCTGTTATAGCCTAATGAAAAAATGCATATTTAAATGCATGCGTTTGCTTTTGGGGTTTATCTACTAAACAGTGATTTTTAAAAAGTTATTGTGCATTTGGGCAGTGAAGTGTCCCTTTAAGGTATTCTCATTAGACAAGAACGTAGGCATGACGCTTTGCCAGCATTATTTACCCAGAGCTCATCCAACTATCAGTATCGATAAGTTAAGAAGTTTGTGCAATGCTATATCTAATACCCGGTGAGGCCGGAATCAGCAGTAATTCCCGTAACACTGAGTTCATCACTAACACTAGTTTTGAAGAATTATGACCCATTCCTCTTTAAAGACCCATTTCATTTCAGTGACAATTACTTCTTTACACTTGGCGCGTTTGGAGTTTATACTATGAGAATTGGGAAGAAGATAGAATTTTATATATTTCAGGCCAAAAAAGCAGAACACGAAAAATGTTCTCCAGTAAAATCTAATTGGCCAATACTGGCCCAAAATTTCCAGACTTCTGGTCTTCTCTGTTTTGAAGATAAGGGGTCAGTTAGTTTGAAATATTATAACTGGAAACTTGATAAACATAAATGTAATTCTCAAAAGATTATTTAAATCTGTTTTAATTTAGCAAAAACATTCAAAAACATAAATAATCCTCACGAGTCTTCTGTTATTATGTAGATAAATGAAACCTCTCGAGTGAATGGCTTTCTGCTAGACGGCCTTTGTAAGATATTGTTGCCCTGGTCAGGATGTTTCTGTGATTCTCTGTCGGAGTCCTGTCTTCTCTCCCCTCGCAGAGAGCGCTGGTATGAGCTAAACGAAGAGGTCATGCGGGACTGCGTCAATCTCTCGGCTGCTGGTGGAGACCAACCCATGATGCAACTCAAAATCACTGCGCTAATGAGTGCCGACCTGTGTGTGAGTGAAACAGAAGACAGCTGGAAACACTCAGACACTGAGATAGGTGACACACGGGGTGACATTACAGGATTTAGAATAAGGAGAGGGAATGGTGAGATACAAAGAAACCTGGATAACAATAATAATTAATAACAAACGCCTATAGAGACACCGCTGAGTTGAATAGAAACATGAATTCACTAGGACGGAGCAGAGGTGACTTCTGAAGGTTTGCTTCACATTTCCCTGAATAAAGCTTTAAAATCTCTCCAGGCTAAGCATCCGTCATGCTCAGACAAGGGGTTTCTGGGACTTGTAGTTTTGTTGTCAGATGTCTACTCATAAAAGCTACAAACTCCCATGAACCTTTGCTGTGCTTCCTGATGACATGCTATGTTATTGGACAGTACAGCTTAGGAGGGTGGGACAGAAAGGGAGATGTATATATCGGTACAAGAACCAGCAAGAAGGAAGTATTCTGCCACGAGGAAGGAGGACAGAGGAGGCGGGTCTCGCATACAGAATGCTGAAAAACATTATTTCTTTAAATAAGACTAGCATAGCAAAAACATTGAAAACTGATTGGGATGTGTATAGGGCTAACACTGTCAAGCAGGGGTGCTCAAAAGGTAGATCCCCATATGTTGTAGAACTACAACTCCCATGATGCTTTGCATGCCTTTAGAATGCTTTTTAAAATGACGAAGTTGTAGTTTTAAAACATCTGGGATCTACCCTCTGGGCACCGCTGCAGTAAAAGGATTGAAGAATGTTGCCTCATTTCTATTCGGTTGTATAAATCCTGGTTTTTCTCTTCTGTCTCTGGATCCCATCAGAAGCGGCTGTCTGCTTGTCTATCTGACCCGTCGCTTGAAAGAGATCTCAGCGTGCAGAGAATTGTCTCAGTCATGGAAGGGGAGGTGAGTGGGCACTGGAATTAGCTATGATCTCTTATTGATCTTGTGCCACTCTGATGCCCTGAGTTACCACGTGTCATGACCGCCTCCATTCGATGGCCCCCCCATTCCTCCCTTGACTTGTGTTATTTGATTACAGGACTCTGCTTTCCCCTTTCTGTCCGAGGAGCAGAACTTGCACCTGCAGAATGCTGTGCGCAGACTGAGCCGGATTGGGAAGGTAGGTTCTGCCCAGCTCGATGGATTACGGAGGGAAAAAATATCACACCACTTTGTTACATTGGCTTTAATCAGAAAGATAACATTAAAGCCTCTGTCTGCTGGCTCTGTGTGTTCAGACCTCGTTTATCACAGAATTCTATGTTGGATAAATATACAAGGTGCAACATATATCAATAAACCCTGAAACGCCAATGTAGAGAAATATGTATGTTGATAACAGAGGATATGAACTACCTCTGTTTGCTGCTTAGAAATTAACACACACATTTCTCACATTGTGGCTGACTGAACATCACAGGAACACAAACATCTGGGATGCCCATCGTTGACCAAGGCCATTAAATGGCATCCGTGAGACTAGAGGGACATGCATTTTTTATATACAGTATCTCACAAAAGTGAGTAAATTTTTGTAAATATTTTATTATATCTTTTCATGTGACAACACTGAAGAAATTACACTCGGCTACAATGTAAAGTAGTAAGTGTACAGCCTGTATAACAATGTAAATTTGCTGTCCCCTGAAAATAAATCAACACACAGCCATTAATGTCTAAACCGTTGGCAACAAAAGTGTGTACACCCCTAAGTGGAATTGTCCAAATTGGGCCCAAAGTGTCAATATTTTGTGTGGCCACCATTATTTTCTAGCACTGCCTTAACCCTCATGGGCATTGAGCTCACCAGAGCTTCACAGGTTGCCACTGGAGTCCTCTTCCACTCCTCCATGACGACATCACGAAGCTGGTGGATGTTAGAGACCTTGTGCTCCTGCTTCTTCCGTTTGAGGGTGCCCCACAGATGCTCAATAGGGTTTAGGTCTGGAGATATGCTTGGCCAGTCCATCACCTTTACCTTCAGCTTCTTTAGCAAAGCAGTGGTCGTCTTGGAGGTGTGTTTGGGGTCGCTATCATGTTGGAATACTGCTTTGCAGCTTAGTCTCCGAAGGGAGGGGATCGTTCTCTGCTACAGTATGTCACAGTACATGTTGGCATTCATGGTTCCCATAATGAACTGTAGCTGCCCAGTGCCTGCAGCACTCATGCAGGCCCAGACCATGACACTCCAACCACCATGCTTGACTGTAGACAAGACACACTGTCTTTGTACTCCTCATGTGGTTGCCGCCACACACGCTTGACAGCATCTGAACTAAATACATTTATCTTGGTCTCATCAGACCACAGGACATGGTTCCAATAATCCTTAGTCTGTTTCTCTTTAGAAAACTGTTTACGGGCTTTCTTGTGCATCATCTTTAGAAGAGGCTTCCCTCTGGGACGACAGGCATGCAGACCAATTTGATGCTGAGTGTGCCGTATGGTCTGGGCACTGACTGGCTGACCTCCACCCCCCAACCCTTTAACCTCTGCAGCCATGCTGGCAGTACTCATACGTCTATTTCCTAAAGACAACCTCTGGATATGACGCTGAGCACGTGCACTCAACTTCTTTAGTCGACCATGGCGAGGCCTGTTCTGAGTGGAACCTATCCTGTGAAACTGCTGTATGGTCTTGCCCACCGTGCTGCAGCTCAGTTTCAGGGTCTTGGCAATCTTCTTATAGCCTAGGCCATCTTTATGTAGAGCATAAATTCTTTTTTTCAGATCCTCAGAGAGTTCTTTGCCATGAGGTGCCATGTTGAACTTCCAGTGACCAGTATGAGAGTGATAACACTAAATTTAACACACCTGTTCCCCATTCAGACCTAAAACCTTTAGGGATTTGGGACGCAAGCGCTCTCAAGAAGCGCGAAAAAGAGAACACGGCCGAAAAGGATCTTCAGGTGGACTAGATTAATAATTTTGTTTAGCGATTGGTTAATATTGTAAGGCAGGGTATTTATATGTTATTGTATATGTATGGTATATTTGTGCCACAAGCCCCTGACGAAGTCTTGTAGACGAAACGCGTAGGGTGGCAAGCTTTATTTTTACAATTCAATATTTTTTATTCTGGACTCTTTGTATTCACTTTGTCCTCTTCCTCTGGCGTTGTATTTTATTTGGGATGGCAGACAGTGGATGTGATTCAAATTGATGAGCCCTTTTACTTCTTTTATCTTGTAAGTGTATCCAATAAAGCAAATTTTCTAATACCATACAGTTATACACTATGTTTTTCTTCTGTGCTCTGTTTTAAGTATTCATCTTCATACACAAGAAGAAGAAGAAGAATAAGCATTTGAAGAAATTTGGCTATACCCTGCCTTTTTACTTCTATGTTTGTGAGTGTTTTATATTTTTTTATTTTTAATATTTAGTTATTTTTGTCTGCACTATTGGTCTCCCTTTGTATTTTTAGGTTGTGCATTTTATGGTTTTAGACATTAATGGCTGCCTGTTTAATTATTTTGAGGGGACAGCAAATTGACACTGTTATAGAGGCTGTACACTTACTACTTTACATTGTAGCAGAGGGTCATTTCTACAGTGTTGTCACGTGAAAAAAATATAATAAAATATTCACAAAAATGTGAGGTGTGTACTCACTATTGTGAGATACTGTGTGTATATATATATAGTACATAAACTAGTTTCATGATAACGTGTTTAAACCCCCCAGTCAGTCACCTCTGTAATGATATCCAGTAAGGCTAATGCAATAAATGCTAAACACGATACGAGTTGGATCATTAACATTTAATCAGCTCCTGCACCGTGCCAGCTCTGAATGTAAGATAATTCTATCTGTAAGGTGAAATGTAATTTCTATAAGGAAATGGTTATATATTGTTTAATGGTTTCTTCTCAGCTAGTCTGATTTATTGCTGATAAAATCCATTTATTATGTGAATTAGGCCCAGTGCAATCTCTCTGACGTGTTATTTCAGACATTGCATGGTGAGGTTCATTTTCTATAAATGTATTCCCGTGTAATACATAACCAATGATGGTGTCTTTTTCCCAGCATGCTAGAGCCAGCCGGGTCTGTGTTTTGGTGGATGCAGAATATACGTATATGAACCCTGCCCTTAGCCTGGTTACAATGGCGATGATGGCTCAGTGTAATGAATCCGAACCGTGGATATGGAATACATACCAGTGTTATCTGACGGTATGGACCTACCTTCCTTATGACGTCCACACACAATACATGCCCAGTAACGACCAACACTCAGTCATCTCACTTTACCCTGTCCTAATGAGGGTCCCACTGAATGCTGAATCCTGGATGTAAATAGAGGTTTATAAACTGCACATCTCACGGATTTCCTAAAATCACTCTGACTTACAACGCACCCCAGAAATCTCTGGGCGACATGAAGGAGCAATGATTCTAGAGTTATGAAAGTACTGATATTTCTTCCCTTTGAGATAAGTAAGACGAGTGCTTTCCCTGTATCACGGCTATCGGCCTTGTTAATGTCTGACAATACTTCTCTCATTTGTGTGTCCTCAATCACAGGAGACTTTCTCAAACCTCTCCCATGATTTGGAAGTGATCCAGAGACTGGGTGTGTGTTTCGGAGTCAAGCTGGTACGCGGCGCCTACATGGACAAAGAACGTAGGCTGGCACGAGAGAAGGGCTACAGTGACCCCATACAGCCAGACTGGGAGGCTACCAATAAGAGGTAAGTGGCCAGCAACAGGACTCTCTACACTACCATACAAGGTAAATATATGAGCCTCATCGTCTTCTTATCCATGCCAAAGGAGGAGAAGGGAAGCAGAGCATTTAGAGGCAGTATTCTAAGAAGGGAGGGAGTCAAAATATATATCTGGGAACCCCAAAATCTGACCCTTTATCGTATTTGATCACCCCAGTTACCAGCGGGCACTGGACAAAATGCTGGATCTGATCGGAAAAGATGGGAAGAGCTATAACCTCATCATCGCCAGTCACAACGAGAATTCTGTTCTGCACGCCACTCGGAGGTGAGTGCAATAATTTAGGAAGAATATTGTATAATGGAACACGGTGTATACCGAGTCATAAAACGTACAAAAATGGATTCATTACTGGGTATCTTTTTATTGTTTATTGAAATTGGCCCTTACAGGATGGCAGAACTGGATATTGATAAGAACAGTGGAGCTGTGTGCTTCGGACAGCTGCTGGGCATGTGTGACCACGTGTCCCTTACTCTAGGTACGTGTCTGATAAATGTCAAATGTTTCGAAATCAGTCCTAAATGACTTAAAAGTTCAGGTTTTTTGCAGGTTAACCAACTTTCTCGAAGTGAAAATATCAATAAAACATTCCATAGATCCGTGTGGACTGGTTTGGGATCTGCTGCTCTAAAACATCTTTCTTTGCATTACATCACTCTCTAATCAATACGTCTCCCAATGCTCGACATACCGTTATTTAATTAATACTCTCTAATCAATACGTCTCCCAATGCTGGACATACCGTTATTTAATTAATACTCTCTAATCAATACGTCTCCCAATGCTGGACATACCGTTATTTAATTAATACTCTCTAAACAATACTTCTCCCAATGCTGGAGATACCGTTATTTAATCTATAAATAAGGAATGGTAGGTTTCTAGTGCTTGTAGTTGAGTTGAGAAGTTAGCTCAAACATCCCAGACCAGAGTCTCTCTTTTCCGATTGTCGATAAGATGTACACGGATAAAGGAGGGTGCAGCGCCTTGTAAAGTCCTAGGGTATGGGCATGTATGCAACGAGACAAAGAGATAATATAGCAGATATTTAGTGTAATATGCCAACTATTGGTTGAAGATAAAATAAAATGAGGTATACTTACAGTGTACAGGGCTATCTGTTTTTCTTCTGTACGCCTGTGGGTATAATCCCTGCCTAAGGAAATGCGGCGTATCCCTGGGTCCGGTGGTAGGTGATCCGGAAGGTATGCAAAATAGACACGATATAGTGTAGTATATTTGGTATTATAAGTAGGGTAAATGTATGTTTGAAAATGCACTCACATACTATGGAGCCTCCTACTGCTCCCAGTAAACAGTGTATGTGATATGTGGCTGAAGTTCTCACAGTGGTCATATGTGCATAAAAGAAGAAATAAGATATATTGCTCGCTGTAGTATAAAAAAGTGTAAATTAAATTGGAAAAGTCCTCACTGGTTTAGAACAAAATGACAGTTTTGCTCTATCCTCAAGGAAATTGGTTTCAAAACTTCAGGAAAAATCAGGATGGTCTAGGATTGTTGGAATGTTATTTAATCAATACGAGACTATTCTGCTCCACCACCCACCATATGACACTGACAGTCGTACAGGGATTAATACACAAACAGCCAGGAGTGACAAGCTGACAAATGATTTCTGCTCATAACAGCTGAATTGGGAAAAATCTGCATTACAGACACAATTTTTGATTGTCATAACTAACTGTTTATTCAATAGATCTCTTATTTTCTGCTTGCCACAGACTAATTATTTTTTAATAAACTTTTCAAATTATTTAATATTTTAAATCAAATTTTGAAATAGATAATTTTTCTTCAAAATATTAAAATATCTAATAATATATCATATATAAAAAATATGAAATAAGCAAAAAATATCCAATCATTTGAAAAACTTATCAAAAATATTAGGTTGAGGTGCAAGATTGCAAAACAACCTTTTAAGTATCAAACATCGTGACTCCATGCGCCCCTTCCACCCCACAGTGCCTGCCCTTTAGTAGTTTAGTTAGGAAATTATGGTGAGTTTTGAATTGTTGTGGTTTCATCCATCTGATATCCGATCTTCGACCTCCATTGTGTACAAATATCTCCATTGCTTCTCACTCAGGTCAGGCAGGTTACCTCGTGTATAAATCAATTCCCTACGGGTCCGTCAATTCAGTGCTGCCATATCTGGTCCGAAGAGCGCAAGAGAACCAGAGTGTCCTTCAAGGGATTAGAAAGGAGAGGGAACTTCTACGCAGAGAGCTAAGGAGGCGATTGCTTGGCAGACGATAGACAATCTGCAGTCAAGGCCAAAGGCAGAAGAGGACTTCAGGCTGATGTTCAAATCATGGCAAAGAGACAGTCAATATCTCCAAAACAACGTCTAGAACAATACGTAGATGGACATTTAATTGAAAGAGCACATAATGTGCGAGACCCACCTAGGTCTCCAGAGACAGAAAAAAATATCTAAATTTTTAACAGTGTCTGGAATAAATTACATTTTATTAGTAAAAATCTCTGTCTCAGAAACAAATAACATTTATAGTATGATCTACATATTAAAACATACCGGTGGGATATAATATATTGGGATAATATAATCTAACATTTATTGTATGATCTAAATATTAAAACATACCGGTGGGTTATATTATATATATTGGGATAATATGTCTAAGATTTATAGTGAGATATATATAATACGTTGTGGAATAATATGTCTATGTAACTGGTTTCAGCCAGGGGTCCATTGGTAATGGCTGAGTGCCTGTCCTGTGTCCTGATATAGTTCAGGAATGTGCTGACCTAATAGTTCACATCACATGGCAGCCAGAGAGGGGGTCAGTGAACTGTAGGGAGTAAAATAAGAGCGAAGGGGGTGGGTGGGGGGGACAGTGAATGAAAGGGGGGTGAAGTAAGAGGGAGAAGGGGGAGCAGTGAATAAAACGGGGTGAAGTAAGAGAGAACCCCAGGAGTGCACCCATGGAGGGCAGGTAAGTACCCCAGCAGTGAATGAAAGAGGGTGAAGTAAGGGGGAGAAGGGCGGGAGGGGCAGAGAATGAAACGGGGTGAAGTAAGGGGGAGAAGGGGGGGCAGTGAATGAAAGGGGGGGTGAAGGCAAGGAGGAGAAGGGGAGCAGGAATGAAAGGGGTGAAGTAAGAGAGAGAAGGGGAGCAGGAATGAAAGGAGGGTGGAAGTAAGAGGGGGGAAGGGGCAGGAATGAAAGAGGGAGCAGGAACAGGCAAGCATGCAAGGAGGGAGAAGGGGAGCAGGAATAAAAGGGGGTGAAGCAAGAGGGAGAAGGGGCAGGAGTGAACCTGGGTGGTGGGGGAGGCTGCAGTAAGGGGGGCAGGAGGAATCCTGGGGGGTGGGGGAGAGTGCACCTCTGTGTGGTGGAGGCTGCAGCAAGGGGGGGCAGGAGTGAAACCCCGGGGGGTGGGGGAGGCTGCAGCAAGGGGCAGGAGGAACTCTGGGCGTATGGAGGAGATCGCAGGTAAAAGTGAGCAACCTGGGGGTGGAGGAGAGTGCAGTAAGGGGGCAGTGAGTGAACTCTGGGGTGGGGGAGGCTGCAGGCAAGCAAGTGAGGAACCTCTGGGGGTGGAGGAGATTGCAGTAAGGGGGCAGGAGTGAACCCCTGGGGGGTGGGGGAGGCTGGGCAGTAAGGGGGGGCAGTGGAGGAACCTTGGGGGGGTGGAGAGGCAGCAAGGGGGGCAAATGAGGAACCTGGGGTGGGGGAGGCTCAGTAAGGGGGCAGGAGGAACCCCTGTGGGTGGGGGGGAGGTTGCAGTAAGGGGCAGGAAAGAACTCTGGGTGGTGGGGAGGCGGGGCAAGTGAGTGGAACCTGGGGGTGGGGGAGGCTGCAGGCGGGGGCAGGAGGAACCTCTTGGGGGTGGGGGAGGTTTTTTTAGTAAGGGGGGGGAGAGGGCAGTGAGTGACCTGTTATTGGCAGACAGACAGAGAGTGAAGTTCACACATATAGAGAGAAATACGGGAGGGGGAGGAGACGGAGAGACAGAGTTAGACTGACATTATTGCTGAGAGAGAGAGGGAGACCCCCTTTTAATTCGCCATCTACATCACCCAGAGGGAAGGGGTCACCATGGAGGGCAGGTAAGTACCCCAGAAGTCAACTCCCCCCCTCTATTGATACTGTAAATCCTGGGGTGCACTCCCCCCCCCCTCTAGTGATACTGTAACTCCTGGGGTGCATTCCCCCCCCTCTATTGATACTGTAACTCCTGGGTGCACTCCCCTCTATTGATATATGTAACTCCTGGGGTGCACTCCACCCTCTATTGTTTCTGCTGTAACTCTGGTGTGCACTCCCCTCTATTGATACTGCTTAACTCCTGGGGTGCACTCCCCTATTGTCTGTAACTCCTGGGGTGATTCCCCCCTCTATTGACCATAGCTCTGAGGTGATTCCCCTAGTGGTACTGTAACTCCTGGAGTGATTCCCTGACAGTGGAACTCCTGGGAGCACTCCCCTATTGATACTGTAACTCCTGGGGTGCACTCCCCCTCTATTGATACTGCTAGCTCCTGGGGTGCACCCCCTCTGTGATACTGTAACTCTGGTGGCCACTCCCCCACCCCACCATTGATACTGTAGCTTCCTGGGGTGCACTCCCCGTGATACTGTAACTCCTGGGGTGCACCCCCCTCTATTGATACTGTAACTCCTGGTGTGCACTCCCCCCCCCCCCACCATTGATACTGTAACTCCTGGGGTGCACTCCCCCCTCTATTGATACTGTAACCCTGGGGTGCACTCCCCCCTCTATTGATACTGTAACCCTGGGGTGCACACTCCACCCCCCTCTATTGATACTGTAACTCCTGGGGTGCACCCACCCCCTCTACTGATACTGTAACTCCTGGGGAGCACTCCACACCCCCCTCTATTGATACTGTAATTCCTGGGGTGCACCCCCCCCTCTATTGATACTGCAACTCCTGGGTAGCACTCCCCCCCTCTATTGACATTGTAACTCCTGGGGTGCATTCCCCACCCCCCACTATTGATACCTTAACTCCTGGGGTGCATTCCCCCCCCTCTATTGATACTGTAACTCCTGGGGTGCATTCCCCCCTCTATTGATACTGTAACTCCTGGGGTGCATTCCCCCCCCTATTGATACTGTAACTCCTGGGGTGTATTCCCCCCCCTCTATTGATACTGTAACTCCTGGGGGGCACTCCCCCCCTCTATTGATACTGTAACTCCTGGGGTGCATTCCCCCCCCTCTATTGATACTGTAACTCCTGGGGTGCACTCCCCCCCCTCTATTGATACTGTAACTCCTGGGGTGCACTCCACCCCCTCTATTGATACTGTAACTCCTGGTGTGCACTCCCCCCCCCCCCACCATTGATACTGTAACTCCTGGGGTGCACTCCCCCCTCTATTGATACTGTAACCCTGGGGTGCACTCCCCCCTCTATTGATACTGTAACCCTGGGGTGCACACTCCACCCCCCTCTATTGATACTGTAACTCCTGGGGTGCACCCACCCCCTCTACTGATACTGTAACTCCTGGGGAGCACTCCACACCCCCCTCTATTGATACTGTAATTCCTGGGGTGCACCCCCCCCTCTATTGATACTGCAACTCCTGGGTAGCACTCCCCCCCTCTATTGACATTGTAACTCCTGGGGTGCATTCCCCTCAATGATGCACCTGTAGCTCACCAGAGTGCATTTCCCGTTGATATTGTAGCTCACCAGGTGCATTCCACACCTCTATTGATACTGTAACTCCTGGGTGCATTCCCCCCCATTGATACTGTAACTCCTGTCGTGCATTCCCCCCCTCTACTGATACTGTAACTCCTGGTCTCCTCTCTTCCTCTCTCTCCCCCCCCACCCTCTATTGATACTCTCGATGTGCATGACACTTATTCCACCACAATAACTACTTATTGAATATGTCCTTCTATTTGAACTTCTCTTGTGCCCCCTCTTGTATTAACATTTCATTATCTCAGCCCACCACCCTGTGAACGCTATGTGTCCGCCATGTTGCTGAGCGCCGCTGGAGATGCTCTGGGGTACAGAAACCAGCTCTGGGAATACTGTAAATCCGGACCCCAAATACACACTGAATTACATGAGTTGGGGGGGCTGCCAAATATAAAGGCCGCCCTTCCTGATTGGCCTGTCAGTGATGACACCGTTCTGCACCTGGCGACGGCGGAGAGTCTGGCCACTGGTGAGGATCCATTTATTCCAGATAACACGTGTGTGTGTCTGTGTGTGTGTGTGTGTGTGTGTGTGTGTGTCTGTGTGTGTGTGTG